AGCCCCCCCTCATGCTGCATAATTTATAATGAGACCCCCTGCTCCCCCTTAGTTTGTTTCAGCCCCTCAGACACACACTCTGCCACCCCCATCCACACACAGTATCCTCCCACCAGCCCTGCTCCCACTCACAGCATGGAGCGTCTGACTCCTCCCCGTTATGTCCCTTTAAACTCGAGCTGCTCGCTGATTCGCTGACGGGATGAGACACGCCCTTCGCAGCCGCGCTGATTGGCTGCGGTACCAGGAAGGCCATTTAAATCCTATGTGCGCTCTGATTGGCTGCCTGTGTTAGAACGTTCCATTGAGGGCATCCCCGGGCTCTGATTGGCTGCGAGCTCAGTGTGTTGCAGGAAGTGTCCTGGGCGGAGTCAGGGGATCCCGGCTGGTCCGCTATGGGAGGCGGAAGTGCTGCTGTGACAGCCATGGCTCGGGCTCTGCCGGCTGGCTGCTAGGGGCAGGAGAACCCCCGCCGGCTGCCAGGGGCTGAGCAGGAGAACCCCCCGCCGGCTGCCAGGGGCTGAGCAGGAGAACCCCCCGCCGGCTGCCAGGGGCTGAGCAGGAGAACCCCCGCCGGCTGCCAGGGGCTGAGCAGGAGAACCCCCGCCGGCTGCCAGGCGCTGAGCAGGAGAACCCCCCGCCGGCTGCCAGGGGCTGAGCAGGAGAACCCCCGCCGGCTGCCAGAGTTTGGGCAGAGGCTTGCCCGGCTGCCAGGGGCTGAGCAGGAGAGACCCCCGCCGGCTGCCAGGGGCTGAGCAGGAGAACCCCCGCCGGCTGCCAGGGGCTGAGCAGGAGAACCCCCCGCCGGCTGCCAGGGGCTGAGCAGGAGAACCCCCCGCCGGCTGCCAGGGGCTGAGCAGGAGAACCCCCGCCGGCTGCCAGGGGCTGAGCAGGAGAACCCCCCGCCGGCTGCCAGGGGCTGAGCAGGAGAACCCCCGCCGGCTGCCAGGGGCTGAGCAGGAGAACCCCCGCCGGCTGCCAGGGGCTGAGCAGGAGAACCCCCGCCGGCTGCCAGGGGCTGAGCCGTAGAACCCTGGGGAATGGCTGCTTTGAAGCCCCTCAGCAGGGCTGGGAGGAGAGAGGAGGAGAATGGAGACCTAGACAGATCCCTCCAGGAGATGATCTCTGCTATTGTGGATGAGAGGAACCGAATTAATATCCGCCAGGAGATCAGTGGGCTGGGTGAGTGATATCTCCAAATTGCAGGCTGTGCCCCCCTCCATCTCCAAATTGCAGGCTGTGCCCCCCTCCATCTCCAAATTGCAGGCTGTGCCCCCCTCCACCTCGGCACGAGGCTGTGCCTCCCCCCCTCCATCTCACACTGCAGGCTGTGCCCCCCCTCCATCTCCAGCTGCAGGAACGTGCCCCCCCCCTCCATATAGGCTGCAGGCTGTGCCCCCCCCCTCCATCTCCAAACTGCAGGCTGTACCCCCCCTCCATCTCCAGGCTGCAGGCTGTGCCCCCCCCCTCCATCTTCAAATTTGCAGGCTGTGCCCCCTCCATCTCAAACTGCAGAGGCTGTGCCCCCCCCTCCCATCTCCAAACTGCAGGCTGTGCCCCCCCCCTCCATCTCCAAACTGCAGGCTGTGCCCCCCCTCCATCTCCCAAACTGCAGGCTGCTGCCCCCCCCCCCTCCGTCTCAAACTGCAGGCTGTGCCCCCCCCCTCCATCTCCAAACTGCACGGAAGCATGCCCCTCATCTCCAGAGCTGCAGGCTGTGCCCCCCCCCCTCGTCTCCCAGGCTGCAGGCTGTGCCCCCCCCCCCCCCCTCCATCTCCAAACTGCAGGCTGTGCCCCCTCCATCTCCAAACTGCAGGCTGTGCCCCCCCCCTCCATCTCCAAACTGCAGGCTGTGCCCCCCAGTAAGGGGATATCTGTACAGAGAACAACTCTGCTGAAACAAAGGGGATTCCTGTGTGTAGTCTTACTTTCCCTCTCCGCACAATAGAGGGTGCAGCTAGTGTCTCCTTCTAAGGATTTCTCTGCACATAAAGTTAGTATTCTGTGTGACATCCCTTGGCACCATGCCCCTTACTTGGCATGTGATGGCATCCTGATTCACTAATCTAAGCTCTTAGAATTGAGTGATCTGCTTGCTCACATCCATCCATCCTGCTTCTCTGTGTCTGATGGCTTCTGGCTGGTCTAGGACCCATTCAGGCTAATGTGATAAGCAAATCTATGTTTACTATTGTTCCTCTATCTAATATCCTGCAGTCGCTTGTTACAGTGTGTACAAATTGTTGTTACTGTGTAGTGTGTGTGTTTTGCTCCCACTTAAAGAATGGTCCAGGAGGGTGTGGTGCCTCTCAGTGTGATGACAGTATCCCACATTAAGTCACAATATTAATCTGCCATGCCCTGCTATCCGTTCTAATGAATAGAAACCCCCTAGCTCTGTAGCTTCACACTGCTCATTTGGGTTCTGGTGGGGTTTAAATCGGGTCACTGGGGATTCTAAGGATTTCATTCCAGGCTCCTCACATTAGATGTCAAGTCACAGACCACACTGTGTATTTTGTGGGATTACTGTTTACAGCAGAGTTATTTATTGGATTGTGGAGAATTAAGCCCTGAATAAGAAATTCTCCAACTAAATGGCTTTTTGGTTTGATTGTTTTGGACTGAAATATCAATTTGCTGCCAATTCCAAGTTTATTGAATAAACCTGTTATGAAGATTATGATTTATCAGGTCCACTGGTTTTACTTTGACCTCTGTACATGTCACCTGATGTGTTTTCTAGCCTGTTTATGACTGTGATCTATACAGTGTCACTAATAGCTTGCTATTTATTAATCTCCAGAAAAAAAGAAATTACATTCACAGGAGTTTAATCAGTAAACCTCACACAATTATTATCACACACACACAATCTGTAGACTGTAAGCGTGTTTGACCTTGGCCAATTTCACCATTTGTTAGTTTAACCAACTCTGTTTTCCTCTACTTAAAATAAGAACAAAGTTAGTGACTATCAAGAGACACACTTTTTTTTTTTTTTTTCTCTTGTGTCCCCTCACACAAACTCTGGACAATGTAACCTAAATTAACGTGACATAAAACCACCACATACATAAACGTGGATGGAGAGGGGACTGTTAACAGGGATTATTGTAGGAATTGGCGTGTGTGTGTATGTGTATATATAGGTTATGAGCCTATTCAATAAGGTAACATCTCCGTGTTTGGGTGGGTTAGTATTTGAAGCCGATGTTTAATTCCAAGATTTACTTATCAAAATGACGCAATTACTGGTAAAATGTCAGCCCAGACCAGCAATCTGGGGGTAACGTGTAAACTGAATTTTTAAAACGTATTTATTTTACATCTTTGCTGTTTTTAGCCTAAGTCTTACTAGTTCTCTGTAAACTCACTATTTAGCTGATACGTTTGCCCATGTACAGCCTGTATGACTAAAGGATAATTTACAATCTGGGATTGTTTGTGTATTTTTTTTTATTATTTTTTTGGTGATGTAGTAACCATCTAACAGTAACGGCCTAGTTTTACCATCTACTGAAACATTGAAAGTGGGGACTTCTGAGATTACAATCTTTTTATTTTTGTCTTGTTCCAGTTATGGTTTTGTTAGTAATCTTAAATTCCTGTTTCCCGTGGGTCTGTGTAAATTCTAGAGCTGTCCTTTACTAAAAGTTCACCCAGATCAAAAATGTGTGAGAATTGTACTGTATGTTTCTATTACTGCACTATAGCAGAGTGTAACCTAGGATATCTGATGCTGTTATATTCTATTTTTGCCTGTTTTTGGTGGTAGGGTACGCTAATCCATTGTAACATTATGTCTCCTATAAAAAGCCATATTGTCTTCTCCAGTCTATGGCAATTTGTAACATAAACGTTGTAATTAGGGTAATAAGTGTGCATTGTCAGGAATTTAAAACTTGTTTCAAATTGACATGATCACTACATGACAGCAAAGTGTGACTTCACATATTCCTTAACGAGACCCATCTTATCTTAAAAAAGGTTATTTTCTGATCCCTCAGTAAATGTAGATCTACGATCCCTGGATGTTTTGTCTGTCTGTTAATATTCACAGCAAGCTGTTACACTAAACTGTCTTTCTGATATTTGGAAAATTCCTTCTCATCTTCCCTTCATGGAGTAAATGAGCTATTTTTATACCAAGTCAGCAGTGACATATATTTTTCTTTCTACAACAGTTAGAAAATCAAAGTACTTTATCAAGAAGGATGTGATTTCCCAACTCAATATTGCACATGTTATTTTCCTTGGAAAGATGACTGTCTGTCTGTTCCACAGTATATCTTGTTCGTAGTTTGGCCTCCCAGATATCCATGCGTTAACTTCGCAGTTCCATTCTCCTAGAAGCATATCTTTCTTTAGAGAGGGTTCTCGATCAGATTATTTGAACCCCTTAAGGACACATGACATGTGTAACATGTCATGATTCCCTTTTATTCCAGAAGTTTGGTCCTTAAGGGGTTAAAGGCCAGATCCATTCGAGCCAGTAACCGATAATGGGGGTCGAGTCGCACAGAATAGATATGGTATTTAATGCTTTACATGGGTAGCCTGGGAGGGCTGGAAACTTCCATTTTGGGGCCACATGAGCACCGTCCGATCAGCCACTGCGAAAAGAACGACCTCTTGGCTTTTTATATCAAATCTGCTCAGAATAAAAAAAGTGTTCAGTGAATACTTTTTTAATTTGCAAAAAAAATGTAGTTTGTGACCCTCTTGGCTTCATTTGGGGAAGCAGAATTAGATCCTCTTTCGGTGTTTGTGTTTTTTTCCATGTCTATAAATACATGTGGTGAGAGGACTGTCATGTCGCTGTCTGTGTTTGGCACATAGTACCCTCTGTCTTCACTTTATATGAGCTGTATCTGTTTTCTGTGTTTTTAATGTGCAACCTCAATTAATGTAATTTATTAATGGAATCATTGTTACCAGGCAGTGTAACCCTAACCAAGCCATACCCTAGTGTGTAACCTCTACCCATGGCAGGTGGTTATTAGTGGGCACAGCATAGTGGTTCCAGGTTTTATAGAAGGTAGCATGTGGCTTTTTCACAGAAATTCCGTAAAGCGCAGAGAGGGTTTAGTTTAGTGCATCTTTCTCAACATTGTTGAGGTGAGCAGAGACGACCTTTAATATGGAAAATGATTCGTGGGTTTCCATGGAGAAAAGGGGAACTTTCCTTGGGGTCTTTAGTTAAGATCCCCAGGTGAAGAGGGATGGGCATTGTCCCAGGGTGAAGTTCCGCTGGGTAAAACTTCCATTCTGATTTCATTGAGAATCATCAGCCTGGCTAACTATGTGTTTTCACCAGAAGCCAATGTTTTTACGGTCTAATGGACCACGAATGAGTGTAGCAGGGTGGAGAACTTTTCCAAATCTGCTATTTTGGTGGGAATTGTGCCATTCCGTAATCGGCTTGCTACAGTTTGGAGTCAAGTGACTAAACCCTGTTTATGTGATTGTAAAAGGGGAAGGTTCGCTTAGTATGATTACATTGTCTATTTCTACACAGACTCAACCCCTGCTCATGCTATTGTTATTAGTAGGTTATAGGGTGAGCGTATCTCTGCTTGAATAAAGATGGCTTACTGTTGTAGCTTTCATTTTTGGCCATTTTTATGTATGGTATGTATGTATATTTGTTGCCAGAGTTGGTGAATCTCTACATAGTATCTCAGTGAGTACATGGAGAAATCTCTGGTTGAGTTCTTTTATATAGTTGCCCTGTATGGTAACGATATGTTTTGGATGGCAATGTACATTTTGAACAATAAGCAGCCAGTAACCTCATCCGTGAAAATATTTTCTAAAATTGGCATCCTCTCACAGGAAACGGTGACTGTCACGGGCACGCTACTTCGGCATGGAGTCTCATGACAACCTTTGTGGCCTCGCAAACTCTTACACAAGACTTCGGTCTCATGTGCATCGGTTTTATTTATTTAATTTACTCTTACAATTTAAATGTATAGAAATTATATTTTTAAGTTAGGGGTTCACATTTTGCTCTTAACTATTGTGAATAAAGTATAGAGTATGTTGTGATTCAGTTATTTCATGTTAATCATGTGACATGATGTAAACACATCATGAATTGTTCTATGAATGCACTATATATTGTGCACCTATGTTCTATGTACAATGACTTGGCAAAGGCCTTGTGCTAGGCCAAAACGTTATCAATCTGTGTGGGTGCCTTAAAGGAACACTATACCCACAAACATGTATCCTAACACTGTAGTCCTGAAGTTGCTGTGTAGTTGACCAATCCCCTCCCTGTTCAGTAAAAAGGTGATTTAATACTTACTTTTTTATTCCTGCAGCGCGGCTGGCCTCTTGTCTGTGACTGAGTTCATCAATATTCATGATCTCAGACAATCCAGTGCTTTCCCATAGGAAAGGTATTGTGCCAATCAGAATCTCCCCCTGGAGATTTAATGTGTGTATCTCCATGGGGAATTTTCAGCACGTCCATACAGAGGGTGGAGACGCTGAACATAGGTGCTGCTCAAAATGCATCACTGAGATAAGAGGCACCTGTGGTGACCGTCTGAGTGACTGCACCTATAGGTGTTACTAGGAAGCAATGTAAACACTGCCTTTACATTTACACTAAAAAGCCTGCAGGGACCAGCTATAGACACCATAACAACTACAGTATACTGTACGGGTTCTGGCGACTACAATGTCCCTTTGAAAAATGAGATTGCACCAGAAGTGTTGGATATTTATTGTTATTTCCCTTGCTGAATAATACTCATAAGGGTTTTATGGCTGTGGGAGGGGGTAGATGAGCACGTGGGGAGAGCTAGTCTGTAGAGTGGTCCCATTGCTTATGATGGATTGAGAGATGAGTGAATGACTCACAGCAGGTATGGAAGGCATATTTGACTTCTGTTGATAGGAGTTGTGATCCTGGTTGGAGAGGGGTAAGGGGGGGCGACTTCAGTTTAAGTGTATCAAGTAGAAATTTTTTTATTTGAATATAATAGTTTGATCATCATTATTGCCATAGGACTAACTAATGGAGTCAGGCTGTTTTGAACATATTATTCCCATTATTTATTATTATTATTATTATTATTGACATTTTTATATAGAGCAAACAGATTCCGTAGTGCTTTACAATATTATGAGACGGGGATTTAACTATAAATAGGACAATTACAAAAAAGCTTACGGGAACAATAGGTTGAAGAGGACCCTGCTCAATTGAGCTTACATTCTATAGGAGGTGGGGTGTAAAACACATTAGGACAGGAATGTGCAATCAAATAAGGTGGGCTGCCCTTTAGGAGAGAGCAAGAGACAGGTATGTGAGGTAGAGGTTACTCTGGGAGGCCATAAGCTTTCCTAAAGAGATGGGTTTTAAGGCACTTCTTAAAAGATGCAAGACTAGGGGAGAGTCTGATGGCGGGACGCAGGCTATTCCATAGGAAGGGAGCCGCCCGCGAGAAGTCCTGCAAGCGCGAGTTGGCCGTACGGGTGCGGACAACGGACAAGAGGTGGTCACGGGCAGAGCGGAGATCTGTGAGGAGATATAAGAGGGGCTAGAGTTGTTCAGTGCTTTATAGGTGTGAATTAGTACCTTGAATTGACTCCTATGGCATACAGGAAGCCAATGTAAGGATTGGCAGAGGGGTGAGGTGTGAAAGAACTGACTAGAGAGGAAAATCAGTCTAGTAGCAGTGTTCATTATGGACTGTAGAGATGCAGTATGGCTTTTGGGAAGACCAATCAGGAGAGGGTTACAATAATCCATGCGGGAAATTACTAGAGCATGGGCAAGCTCCTTGGTAGCATCTTGTTTAAGAAAGGGGCGGATGCGGGCTATGTTTTTAAGATGGAATCTACAGGATTTGGCAACATACTGGATGTGTAAAGACAAGTCTTCCCAGAAGCTTTGAGGAAAAAGGGAGCAGGGATATGGGACGATAGTTAGAGGGGGTGGACGGGTCGAGGGATGTTGTGTGTGTTTTTTTTTTGTTTTTGTTTTTTTTTTAAGTATAGGTACTACAGTGGCATGTTTAAGGTCAGCAGGGACAATGCCAGAAGAGAGAGAGCAGTTGAAGATGTGCGTTAAGGGAGGCACGAGACAAGTGGAGAGAGATCTGATAAGGTGAGATGGGACAGGATCATGTTGGCAAATGGTGGGGCGAGAGGAACAGAGAAGAACAGCCACCTCTTAGTCAGTAGCCGGGGAGAATGTCTAAAGGGTAGGAAAGGCATGATCTACGTGTGGTTGAGAAACCGTACGGCAAGGAGGGGAGAATTCTTTCCTTAGCTTTTCAATCTTGTCAGTAAAGTAACTTGCAAAGCTATCGGATGTAAGGTTAGTTTGGGGGGTGGCCACAGCAGGGCGAAGAAGAGAATTTAAAGGTGTCAAAGAGATGCCTGGGATTGCGGGAGCATGAACTAATGAGAGAGGAAAAGTAGGACTGTTTGGCAAGGGAAAGGGCTGCGCAGTATGAACACAATATGAATCTATAATGGGGAAAGTCTGACTGGGTGCGAGACTTCCTCCAGGAGTGTTCGGCACACCGGGAGCATCTTTGCAGGTAGTGTAGGTAGTGTGTTGATTTAGTATGCCATGGTTGGGGGCAGCTAATCTTCCAGAGATGATACCTCTGTTCAGAAAATTCTGCAGGACTTGGTTGCTTGGGAGTGCTGGGTGTTAATGCTGTTTTAAGGGGCCCAGTCTGAAATATAAGATCTGAGGTTAGAAAGAAATAAAACAGACTATTATGGGTGGGGAAACATGGGGCTATTGAGGTAATTAATTAGAGATGAAAAACTAGAGGAGAGAACATTTGGGATAAAAAGATAGGAAGGATCAGATAGGTGAAAGTCATAAACCATGAACATAAATTTACAAAATTATCAGTGAGAGTAGTAACACTAGCTAAACAAACAATTAACAAAGAGTCTAAGAGAATGAACATAAAATGACGTGATCATACCAACTTTAAGAAAAACTAAAACAGAAGATCAGGATGGGAGATCTAGTTATCAATTGAGTACTGATAGTATCGGGAGGGAGATGGAATAGAACACCGTTTGAAAATAAGAGTTTAAAGGAAAACGTAATACAGGAATTCTTGAGTAGATCTTCCAGAGATGATACCTTTGCTTAGAAGATTCTGCAGGACTTGGTTGCTTGGGAGTGCTGGGTGTTAATGCTGTACTGCATTATGCCTAAACATTAACCCCTACAGAACCTTAACACTCCCCTAAAAAATATCATGTCATATAAGACACATAATAGACTGTAGACTGAGCTTCTGTGCAAATGCCCTGTGCCATTAACTGAGCATGCTAGGAGTTGTGATCCACAGGCTGAGTGCTTGCTCTACTCTAGCTGTTTGTTTGTATTGTGGGTGTGCGTTTTTGTTGCAGAATTTTTCCTGGTTTAATATTAACCGTTCGATCTCTGCCACTAGTTTCACTTCATCTTCTTACGGTGTTCTGTTTTGTTTTAATGATTTGCAGAACATCGGCTTCATTTGTCGACTGAAGTGAAATCTAAAGAGAATTAACCATTGGTATTCATATTATTCAGCATAAAGTAAGTTTTGAGCAGGAAAGGAATAGAATCCGCAGGGCTCATTAGCGTTCGCGCCTCTGACGGCAGACTTCAGATTTTGTAAATTCAGAATCCTGTCCCTAGACCGCTTGTTTTGTCTTATGGCTGCATTATTTCCCCTTATTATTCAGATTAAATACAGGCTTTTCCATTTCACATGGATTCAGTGTTTTACAAATCCCCAGAGGACGAGCGCTGGTATAGTTTATCTCCAAGGCCTCTCATTGCGGATACATTATTTAATTTACAAAATGTGAGAGGCCAGTTGTGGACATTGTGTAACCTTTTACTTTTACTTTGAATTCCTGTAAATCCCTAAATTGTCTAACTTTATAAACGTTTCAAATGGTAAGACGGACCTTTCTTTTTAGGGCGTGTGGCTGGAGGTTTGGCCGGGGGATTTTGACTTTGTGATAAGTTTACAGAACTGAGAATGTGAATAAGAATAAGACCAAATATCTTATTTGCACAGACTGATTTCTAAACACATCTTAATGTACGTTACAGGCTGATTACTGAGAGGCTAATTACATCACCAACAAAATAACACAAAGGCATAAAAGTTATTTCCATATTTTTGTTTTTGAACATTATAACATTGGGGAAATCTGTATACCTAACACTAAAGTGTCCCTGTCCCTAATTTATGTAGGTGTCTCCCACTACTCCCCATTGACAGCGTCAAGGGCTACGTACCTTAATTTACTGAGAGGCTAATTACATCACCAACAAAATAACACAAAGGCATAAAAGTTATTTCCATATTTTTGTTTTTGAACATTATAACATTGGGGAAATCTGTATACCTAACACTAAAGTGTCCCTGTCCCTAATTTATGTAGGTGTCTCCCACTACTCCCCATTGACAGCGTCAAGGGTTAAAAACACGTTTGTTTACGTACCTTAATTCCAGCACCGAGGCCTCCATCTCCCGCTAAGTTACAGCAATGGTTGAACGTGATATGCATGCGCACCACTCAGGAGCGCATATTAAAGCTTCCACATAGGAAAGCATTGAATTAATACTTTCCTAGGACGAATTTGAAGACCTTGGACATCCACATGCAAAGCGAGAGGATATCCAAAGTTGTTTCACATAGTAAAACTGTCTGGGAGAGAGCCACTAGAGGTGGACTAGACTCCAAAAACAGCAGTGTTTTACATGGCAGGGTTAAACAGGCACTGCCAATAAGATTGTTATATGTGTGCCATTACTCTCCCTTTTAACAACCTAAAAAAAAAAAAAGTGTGATACTTAAGGGATTTGAAAGAATTAATATGTACAAAGTATTTGTGCCACCCAACTTACTTGTGAGTAAATAGAATATGTTACCGGGTTAAATACTGCCCTCTCTCAAACCTGTGTTGTCATGTACTCTAAATATTGTGTGTAAAATAGGATCACTCCCCCCTTCATGTGTGGGGGTTCATTAACCAAGCGCCAAATTGTAGTCAAATAAAGAACAATTTGGAAAAATGCTCCAACCCTGCTACATCCCCAGTTCGGGTGCCTTAGCCTGAACTTTCCAGGTCGGTTTACAATTTGTTGAATAAACTCCTCTGTGTAAATTGTTGAAGACGTAATTCAAGCTCCTAGATCATGTGAGTGCAGTGACTCACGTCTCAGGACTGTGTGACGACACCAAGTTTTTCTTCTTTTCTTGAACCTGTGTACGGTTATTGTCCAGACTTTGTTTGTGAGCTATTTGCACAGACACCCTCTAGCAGTCAACATTTATTGTTTCAGTGGTGTACACACAAGCGTTTTGGATTTTAGTTGTTTTTTGTGTGTGATTTAAGTAGGAGTGATACCGAATATTGCTGTAACAGTTAAATGATTTGTATTATATTATTTTACATGGGATTTTCTCTTGCCAACAGCTCGTGACAGTAAAGTTGGCGCCCATGGGCCGGCGTGCCCTTTAGTCATGATTTGCAACGTTGCCAGTGAGCCCGTCTGGCTTTACAATAATTGATGATTTCTATTAATAGTGAAGATGACCAGCATCTCATAGGAAGCGGTGATCTAAAAATGCACACGAGTGCCAATCTCCATCGGACCTTATCCTTCATTATTCTAAATTATTTATAGAGCAATGAAGTTGTACTGAGTTGCAACATTTATACCAAAATTGATTGGATTTTGACAAATGTCTCAGATCTGCTACAGTCACAGTTTGGTTATTTTAGACTTAATTTTTAAAATCAGTTTTCTGGTCACTGCAATTTATTGATTAGTGAATAACCTCTAAGCTTCCTCTTTTTAAATGCGAATGGGGTCAAGGGGATATGTAACTCTTCCGGGAATGTCTCTGTTCTGTGGTTTTTGTTTTTTCCCCTTTGATAGACAAGAAAATAATAGATTATGCCCTGCAGTCTCGCTGCTCAATTCTCTGCCATTTAGGAGTTAAATCACTTTTGTTTATACAGCCCTAGCCACACCTCACTGCATGCGACGTGCACAGCCTTCATAAACACTTCCTGCAAAGAGTTTACACTTTTTACACTTTGTTTTTTGCACAGTCTGTTCAATTTAGCATTTCCTATCACGTGCACTGTTAATTGCCTTCTAGACCCTGCAGAAGCCTCATGTGTGTGATTAACGTTTAACTACAGAGCAGGAGTTAAGAACTTTAAATCAAACACACTGTGCTGTAAGATCTGGAAAAATGGTTTAATTTTCAATCAAGCTGGCTGTTCAGCTGAAGTTGTTTTGGTGTTTAGAGTGTGACTTTTTTAAATACAGGAAACCAAAGAAGTTCTGTGCACGTTTAAATGTAACCAATTTCTGTAATGTAACACTATGGAAATCTGTGCCTTTAAAAAAAAAAAAAAAAAAAAATATTGAGACTCTGGTTATTTCAGCCCAAGGCCGTACATCGATCACGTCATGTGCGGTTTATTGAATAGCCCACGTACGTTAAAGTTACTCACCCTTCTCCTTGGGGCTGTGTGAGTAAATCAGGTTTTCTTTGTTGTCTGAGCAGCTAATCACTAGTAATGAGAACCTATTGTTTGGCTCAATCTATGGAATGACATGTTCTGTTAACACAGAGCGCTATGAAGGGCCGCGCTGGCTCTGGACCTGATCAATAAATCATTTCTATCCACAAACACAATATGGATTTCATTGCAGAATGGAATTGCAATGGCCGATGCGGTGTTATTAGCCAGCCTCCAGATTCTCCAGAAACCATTGTAACTGGAGCTAAAAAATCAATAGTGCTGTAAGTGCAGGAGGTGTGAGATTTCAGGATTAGACGGTCATTACAAATAGTTTATCTGTTCCTCCGGCTTCACGGGGCCTGGAAGGGAGGGGTGAATATATAATAAAATATCACTGAACCACGAGACTGATGGCCTGCTAAATGTCACCGTTCTGTACCTTTTTTTTTTTATAAATATATATAATATTTAATTATAGGGCATCACAGGAGCATGCATGTCCCGCTCTGCCTTAGATTGGTGGGAGTTACTCTCCCGGGCCGCAACTGCTGCCATTAACCCAGCAAGTCCCCTGATAGTGATATCTCAGCATAGGAGATGAGGAGAAAGAATCCATCGTTATTGGGACAGGACAACTGCAAATCGTGTCTGCCTGCCTGAAATTAGTGTGCGCTGACCGGTAGATATCAGAGCTGCCGTGAGATTGGGGTCCCCTGTATAATATGGTGGGGGGGTGATGTCTAACACTCTCTCTGCTGATTTCACACCTGTGATTGTTGTACAGATGATATTTCTGCACAGAGAGTGTATTTTAAAAATATATTTCTTACATTTTCTTTTACGTACAAACACTACAGTCACCGTATTATACTGTTCATTCACATTTAATAGAAAATGCTCTCAGCTACTTTTATAATGAACCCATTCTGGGTGGTTTTCATTGAACTATGTTTATTTATAGCTTTTTATTATAGTCTTTACAATCTGGCTGTAGTAATGGTTCTTGGTCCTAACTAAAATGTCACTTACACTTTAATTTTTTTTCTTGCTTGCACTTTCATTAATAAAAACACATAAATGAAACTACTCTGCAAGCCAATGGAGAAGCAGAACTGTGCCTTTTGTTTATTTTTTTTTGCCTGTGTTTGTCACAATGTTGATTCTCTCTTACGAGACCACCATTTTATTGTAATCTTCTCGATTTTTTTTTTTTTTATTTTTTTTTTTTTTCCAGGTTTTTTTAAAGATGACCGCATTGTGTTTTGGACCTGGATGTATTCTACGTACTTCATGGAGAAGTGGGCGCCGCGGCAGGATGACATGTTGTTCTATGTACGGCGCAAGTTGGCTTATGTTGGTACAGATGGCATCGAAGGCAAAAAGGTAAATCTGCAGTACCAGGTTTTATCAGTTTCGCGAGTTTCGGCAGCAAACCAATCTAGAGAGGGTGACAATAATGTGGGGGGAATGTTTCATTTCATACAATTCTATTAAACTGCAGCAAAATGTGGGTAATATCCTGGACCTCCTGACGTATCGTTGGCACTTTAAGATTTCTGTTTAATCCACACGCATAGATTCCGTAATGATGGCAGCCTCCCCGTGAAGGAATTCTAGCTGACAATGTGTTGTGTACACAGACAGATTTATTAAGTGGGAAGATTAGTTGTACGCATAGAATGCTCAGCCTAGTTTTTTGGGGATCCTGGATGATCTTGCATTGTTTGGCCGTACAGTGGTACTAAAGACATATGTTTACTTATACTCTAGAATTTGGGATAGTACACTGGTGGTATTTGTTTGGTTTGGTTTGTTTTGCACAGAGTAATGGGACTTTGTTTTTATTTACATTTTTTTAATGTATGTGGCAGTATACCCACGAGTGGCTTAGTTCTTACCACCTAGGTTGTCCCTTCCCTTGTAGAAGCTTCAGAGTGATTATGCTCTCTTGCACACAAGCCGCGATTTGGTGAAAAGTGTATAAGAACTGCGTCATTGGGGCAAAATTGTCACCTTATATACCTGGAGATTTCACTGGAGGTCCCCAGGGAGAATAGATTGTGACACACTCGGTGCCTTGATGTCTGTGCCTGAGCTGGTAATATAATTTATATGCCTGACACTTATGGGTAGAGTTCCTGGTCACCTAAAAACACAGCACTTTCCATGGGTACATGGAGCTATCCCATGTCTTTCGATGCCCCACCAACCCCACTACTAGCCCTCATCAAAATGCCCTGATTGTTGGTCCTTGGACCAACAGCACTCCTGTTAGTTTTAGCTGACCATGGTGACTACTCGATACAATTTTTAGAGTTCCGGGGTGGCTCCCGGCCAGGTGCACCGTGCCTCTTCGTCCCCTTGGCTGGTGAAAGCAAGGTGACTGCTGGGCTGGCAGACACAGAGGGTTAGTTATAGTGAAGATGGTCTGTCACATTGTAAATTTATTTGTAAGCAAAGTAGTGCACCATACTCTATTTAAAATTAAGTTAAATGGGATCAGTTTGTATTCATACATTGCTTGACTACGTGGAAACCTTACTAAAACCAAATTACGCTAGTTCTGATGCATACATAAACATAACTTTAACTTCTATCCAGAATGCAAATTTCTTTTAGACCAGTGAAGAGCAATGCTTTCTCGTGGTTCCCAGCAGGTGGAGGTAGAGGTCTATCGCAAAGACTCTAAGAAGCTTCCTGGTTTAGGAGACCCTGACATCGATTGGGAGGAGAGTGTCTACCTGAATCTCATTTTGCAGAAGGTGTGCTAAGATTATTTTCGGAGGTTTGGGTATTTAGGATGTCCAGTTGGTGTATTTGGCTTTAATTTCCAGCTAAGCATGTCGAAGCTCTCTGGGTCTCTATTTTATGACTTCTCTCACTCTTCATGTTCTCCCCAGCTGCATTATATGGTGACCTGCGCTGTGTGTACGCGATCGGATGCTGGGGACATCCACATTCACAAAAAGAAATCCCAGGTTTGTGAGTGGGGGGGCTTATCTTGAATTTAATAAAACCGAACCGATGTCTTATGGGCATCATAAAGTCACATTCTCATTAGAAGAAAGCTGGAACTTGAATATCTGGTCCGGTGACCAAGATCCCTTTAAAGTTTCAGACTCTGCTTTCAGCCATCACAACCCTTGGGGTTTTCTGCTGATATTCCTTGCCCGGTGTTTTGTAGACTAATCAGAAATGTTGGCAGTGGATGAGGTTGTCTTGATCCAATTGATCTAATGCTTCCTGAATGAATGGATACTACGAGCATTGTACATTCACTTAAACAAGTTCCATTCATTATTCAATGAGCATAAAAAGAATGTTCAATGAGAAGTTTACCCATGGCCTTCTATTGCAGAGTAACCATACATATTTATACATTACCATGAGAGACCAGGGATACAATACATTTTGTTTTGTTGTGTCCCCTCCCTCCCCCTAACTCCCCCTCCCCAATTAAAAAAACAAAAACAAAAAAAACTGGATTTGACTCAGTGCATTACTGTTCACAAATTTCAAAGCTTGATACCCTATTAGATGCCTGAAGGATCCCCATTTAATTAGAGGTTTTAAACCCCTTGGTTAGAACCTAAAATTGGATCCCCATGTTCTCATTGGGTTTGGAACCTTGACTGTAATGTAAACACTGCATTTTTTCTGAAAACCGCAAAAAGCCTGAAGGGAATGATTCTACTCACCATAACTAATATAAAAGGCTGTAGAAATTCCTAATGACTATACTGTCCCTTTAAGTGATATTGTTGCCTTCCCCAGTAGAAGTGAGAACCCTTTCTTATTAGGAAGAGGCTAAATGAGTTGATTTGTTGAATTTATTTAGTTTTGTTATTAGAAGGGAAATGAAACCGAGAAAATGTTGCTATTAACAAGCTGCCTAGCTGTTACCATGCTCATAATTTGGGTCACAGTCAGAGCTTATTTAACCCTTCTGTTATTTGTTAACCCTTACTGGTGTGTGAGCCCCTCTCTATGCACAGCCTGTTCGAGCATTTAGTCTTGCTTTATCAATGTTCCAGCAAGTGTTCGCGTCACCGAGCAAACACCCAATGGACAGCAAGGGAGAAGAATCGAAGATCAGCTACCCCAATATATTTTTTATGATTGACAACTTTGAAGAGGTACGAGTCCAGTTTGTCTTTAAACCTCGCTTGATGTGAGTCCTTCTTTGTATAAAGGTGAAAAATGTGATTTTTATTACACTGGAGACACCCAGATTATATTCAATTTCTAAGTATGCTCAACATTATTCAATATGTTTGTTCCTGCAGGAAGCCTTTCAATCACAATTCTAATATTAGAACACACAAGGCCAGTAGAAAATCTAATTGTAAATAATATCCAGAAAAGCAAGTTCATTTAATATTTACTGCACTTACGGAGAAAATTAAATTTTCTAGGATTTCACTTTATTTTTGTACATGAACTCGTCAAAGCGTAACTGCTGCGTTTTGCAATTGAAAGTGTTTAATCGGTTTATTAATTTCGACTGTTTTAATTAGCTTCCATTGGATTGAATTTATATCTTCGTAAAGCTTTATAAAAGTACCTGTTTGGATTTGTTCTGTAAGTTACAGTGTCATCTCAAACAGACAGAGGCTGGATTTAGTAAATGATCTAGTGGATAAATATACTTTAAAGGGAACCTCCGCCTCTGATACAAATATAATTCAATCGATTTGAATTTGGTATTATTTCATGATTATTATTATGATATAAATAAATATCTATAATTTCTATAGTTTTGGCCTAAAATAAAAAATATTTGCAGAATGCTGCACTATAAACCTGTTTATAAAGACATTCTTATCCTGTATGCTCAGCCATTGACAATACTGAATGATTTGAACTACAACACAACCAGCATTAGAAGGAGAGGACACTCGAAGTCCTATATTAAGGATATCACAATCTGTCTGCAGTTTTTCTAAATGAAAAGCGTCTCATTCGGTGCTTCTGGTTCTGAGACTGTGTACATACACTGATAAGGAAGTCTTGTCCTCTATTTTTATTTTTTTTCTTGAACGGGCCATGGATAAAGAGGCAGGCTTCTGTTGTAATATTCTGCAAAGACATTTTGAACCAAAAAAAAAAAAATACAGCATCTTAATGAGGTCAAAACCTCATGCATTTGTTATACTGGTGCCTGGAGTGTCCCTTTAAGAGTAAAATTAAATTACAAAAGAAAAGACAAAACTAAATTCCATCAGTCCCATGTTGTGCTGCATCTAAGGCGAGCTCTTATTAAACAAACTCTGTCGTATAATCATATAAACACGTTTCCTTAGAGCCTGTAAGCTGCTGCAGTCTGTTACAACTTTTATAAACAAAATGTAATTTTATTTATTGATTTTAGGCGTTGCATTTAGTTTCATTTGTGCTTTTTCCGGTGGTTTTAGGTATTTAGTGACATGACCGTGGGGGAGGGGGAAATGGTCTGCGTGGAGCTTGTGGCCAGTGATAAAACCAACACATTTCAAGGAGTTATTTTTCAAGGTTCGATTCGCTACGAGGCGCTCAAAAAAGTGTATGACAATAGGGTAAGCAGTGCACGTACGATGTGTTTATAGCACCAGCCAGATGGACTGAATTTGGATAAAATCTTGGTATGGGCTGGGTGATCCTGACAACTAGTCATTGCTGATGTCTTTGCGTAGACTTCAGTGTGAAATACTGTTTTTGTAATCCTAAAGAATGGTTATCTGAATAAAAATGTAGCCAAGATTTTAAGAATGTGGACAGTTTGATCTTTAGAAACATAGAATGTGACGGCAGATAAGAACCATTCGGCCCATCTAGTCTGCCCAATTTTCTAAATACTTTCATTAGTCCCTAGCCTTATCTTATATTTAGGATAGCCTTATGCCTATCCCACGCATGCTTAAACTCCTTTACTGTGTTAACCTCTACCACTTCAGCTGGAAGGCTATTCCATGCATCCACTACCCTCTCAGTAAAGTAATACTTCCTGATATTATTTTTAAACCTTTGTCCCTCTAATTTAAGACTATGTCCTCTTGTTGTGGTAGTTTTTCTTCTTTTAAATATAGTCTCCTCCTTTACTGTGTTGATTCCCTTTATATATTTAAATGTTTCTATCATATCCCCCCTGTCTCGTCTTTCCTCCAAGCTATACATGTTAAGATCCTTTAACCTTTCCTGGTAAGTTTTATCCCGCAATCCATGAACCAGTTTAGTAGCCCTTCTCTGAACCCTCTCTAAGGTATCAATATCGTTCTGAAGATACGGTCTCCAGTACTGCGTACAATACTCCAAGTGAGGTCTCACCAGTGTTATGTACAATGGCATGAGCACTTCCCTCTTTCTACTGCTAATACCTCTCCCTATACAACCAAGCATTGTGCTAGAATTTTTTACCTCCTGTCCTGCTTTTTAGTGTATCGGTCTGTCAAGCAATGGAGTGAATTGAATCATTTTTAATGTCAATAAATTCTCAGTTGATTGTTAAAGTTTCTGTCCTATTGGTTTCTCGACAGACTACTTGATTTAATTTTATTTATAACTCACTATATTCTGACTAGTCACCACAATCCTGGCAAAATGTGTGATCATTTTTGTAACATTCTCTGGTCTGGAAAAATAAACCTACTGGTTTGTCTAAACAGGTAAGTGTTGCTGCTAAGATGGCTCAGAAGATGTCGTTTGGGTTCTACAAGTATAACAACATGGAGTTTGTGCGCATGAAGGGGCCTCAGGGCAAGGGGCATGCAGAGATGGCAGTAAGCAGGGTCTCCACTGGTGACACCTCGCCATACGGCACTGAGGATGACTCCAATCCAGGGTCGCCTTTGCATGAGAGGGTAAGAGCACAACAAGGCTTGATAGACTTGGAAACCTCCATTCATATTCTAATGTAAAGGGGATTTAATGTATTCTTGTCCTTTTATCTGTGGTAGGTGACTTCATTTAGTACACCACCAACGCCAGAAAGGAACAGCCGCCCTTCGTTTTTCTCGCCCTCTTTAAAGCGAAAGGTGCCAAGGAACCGCAACGCTGAGATGAAGAAGTCTCACTCTGCCAATGACAGCGAGGAATTCTTCAGGGACAGCGATGATGGTGGAGGTACAGGAAACTCTATAATATCTATAGCCACCAGGCCTTCTAACCATTGGTTTAACCTCATTCGTTCTGGCTCGCTAGTGTCATGCATTGTGGGGTGTCTAATCATCTCTGGCTGGACCTACATGCATATAATGGTCTGCCACAGGCGTGTACCCTAAATAGAAGAAACCTACTTTCATGGTTATCGGCCAAAGTCTCCACTTGTGCACTTACCAGTGCAAACACTGTATTTGTGAATTCTATATAGAGGAAGAAATCTCATTCTTTTACCAAACTAGAAACCGACCAAGGAATTGCAAATCTTAGGATTTAAAAGCAGTTAGACACTCTGAGATCAAATGCTTTAAAGTTGTGTTGCTGCCTAGAATGTCCCTTTAGTAAGAATGTCTTGTTTGATTTATCATTTTGTAAAGCTCTGCTATGGATACTGTTTTAAAACGCGACAGAGCAGGTTTTTTTATTTAGAGTTATCTGGATGCAGGCAGAGCTTACAGATCAATAGATTTATAGCCGTTTCCAGAAATGTGAAGAAGACAGTCAGCTGGTGAATAAACACAATTCACAAATCTCTTTATTCTTCCAAAGCATCTTATTGACTGGAAACACTGCTAAAAAGATTCATATTTGGCTTTGAAGAGTCAGTCCACTCTCCCACACAGAGCCTTGCTGCTGATATCCTCTGCTCAATGGAGCATAGGCATAAAATTGTGTAAAGGTGTGTGTTTCATTGGTATTCTTTAAAACCTGGTATTGTACGTTAAAAGATTTTGAGAAGCTGGATGTTGATTGCACTGCTGGCTTATTCCAAAAATAATTCTTTAAAAAGTTTGTCTTGTGGCAAAAAAAGTAAATTTTGTTAAAAAAAAAAAAATTGTCTTCACTTGACTTCTGCCCCCTCCCATGCCATATGGGATGTCCATCCCATGGTTTCTTGTACCGTAAGACTGTCTTTCTTTTCACAGATATGCATAATACAACGAACCTGAGATCTCGCTCGCTGTCTGGGACTGGGAGATCTTTGGTTGGATCGTGGCTGAAACTGAACAGAACTGATGAGAACTTCTTACTCTATGCACACTTAACATATGTTACCTTGCCCCTGCAGCGGATCTTGTCAGGTAACCATCTGATCAGTGTCTGGTCATTGTAATGTAACATTAGGTGCTGAGATAGCTTAGCTGCCCGAAAGGTAGAAACCCCCTGATGTTTTAACATTAACGTTTCCATGATGCTTTGTCATTCCAAGGGCATGCAAAGCATTATGGTAGTTGCTCTAAAACCTCTTGGATCTACCTTTTTGGGCACCCCCGCCTTAGCGAATAGTGCTCCACCATCTTTTCCCAGGGAACTCAGCAGTGCGTCCTGCTCACAGCTATAAAATTACTAGAATGTTAGTGCTTTCAGACCCAGTGAAAAAGATGAAAGTCGATATTTCACTGTATCTGGTATTACAGATTCCAGGAGATGCCTCTGTTTTAAGCAGGTTTTCATAGGATGTCATAAAGTCTAGACAGACCTTATGGTTTGGAGATGGCATGGAACACAGTATTAATTGTCAGGAGTTCAGCACAGACTATTGACTGTAATCTACAGTCTTACCTCCTGTTTTGTTTTGACAGATATTTTGGAAGTGCGACAGAAGCCGATTCTGATGTCATAGCGAAGACAAATTGGCTGAACAGTGTTTAAAAACTGCCAAAGTGCCTACTTGACCCGCAGTGGTGCCATGTGACAATACTACCACCTGGTGGCAAGAAGCATACACGCACAGAACTAAGAAAAGACTTCTCCCGTTTGCCTCTGCAGGGGTGTGTGAGATCTGGGATCCTGCAGTTACAAAGGGGTTAAAAAAAAAAACATAAAACAAATACCAGCCAATCAAAAAGTGCCTCTTTACCCCTCCACTGGTGTATGCTTAAACTACATCCTTATGGTGTTTTGGAAAGGGGCTTTGTAACTAAAAGGGGCTGTGTTAAGAAAAAAAAACCTAAATGAAAAAAGCCAAAATTATTGGTTAAATTTTTTTTTATTTTTTTTTGTGATCCATACTTCTAGTAGCAGCGAACAAAGTCTATGAACTGCGCAACACATTATGTACACAATTCGGTAAAGTTGCAATTTCATGAATGTCATTCTGTGAGTTACGAACGTTGTGTTTGGCGTCCGTCTTCATGGCTTCAGCGTCTCAGAGGTGGAAACATCCTTTCGAAGAGTTTTTTTTATTTATTTATTTTTTTTGCACTATCCAATTCAAACAGCGTTTTGAGGGGTGTTTTCTCCTTATTTTGTGTATCTCCAAATTTCGTGCACAACATCAATGATTTCTCTAAAACAGATTCTGTCCTAAATTAAAAATGTCTGTAATATTTGAATCCTATGAATGCAGATGGAAGGGTGCGCATGGTCCTCTGTCCCTTTTGTAGGCCTTGCCCTGTCTGAAGTAAGTTTATAATAATGTATAGCAGACTGTCTGTCTTAAAACAAATGTTTTAATTTACTAAATACTGGAGCTTTGGAGCAGTTCTACTCAGCTGGACATGAATTGACCATACTATTTTCTGTGATCTCTCAGTTTCATGTGAAAGTGATAAAAAAAAATTAGACATTTAAAGGGACAAAGTCTTTGAGCAAGTAACACATCACTCCATATGGAATGTGCATAATTCACTTAATATTTAAAATCACTTTAAAGTTCTATAAAAGGGAGATAATATACAGCCACATGTTTTGAGCCATTTTTTTTTTAAAAATTTTTTTAGGACTTTATCAGTATCAATTAAACATTTAATATAACTTGCTAACATTGGATTAAAACTATTACTATAATGCTTTTAAGTTTATCTATTAGGTTGACCCATTTCTTTAACATGTTTTAAGCTTGGCATTAAAATGAAAAGGGCCGAGGGATATTTTGATTGTCCCAAAGCGGAAATAAAACCCTTTTCAGAATATGTGATTGGGAACTAACATGGGTTTTTTAATGTTCGCTTTAATTGTTACCGAAGATGATTGATGCATGGATTTTGAGAGGCCTTCTTGGGAGAGTTTAGGCTGATTTTAGCACTTATTCATTTCCTGGCTCTCTTATCTCCCAATCTCCTTGCACTAAAACCACAGAAGGGGGATAGACTGAGTGAATTTGTAGGACTTGGAAAGCCCGCTGTGAAAGCTATAATTGCAGATTTTTGTCACTCTAGAAAACTGTTCACACTCGGACCCCTACATGAATCCGGTTGTGTATTACACATGTTTGTACTTTTGCTTATGTGTAATTTTGTGTTTGTCACATGTGCTTTGTAATCCGAACATGTTTATCTAGAGCAGATCTGTGGAAGACCAGGCACCCAGAGCGGAATGTTGGCAAAGGTTTTGCAGTTGTGATGAGAACCCTTTGAGAAGTGGTGGTAAAGCCTGCATAGTATTGCATTAAAATGAATGTCGCACATGTTGTTTGTACGTTTCTCGGATAGTTTGGCCATGGTGTCTTCTTGTGAGTGTTTGAATCATTGAAAGGGCTACAATCCCAACCCAAAGCATTGTCTAGATTTAGTTTTATGGAAAAGTATTAACGTCCATTGTGTAATTATCTCTATCAGTCTGTGACTGGGAAGTGTCTTTGGTGGTGTCTTCCCATAAATTCAGTATTAAAGGTGGGATAGACCGCTTTTTTTTTATTTATTTTTTTTATCTATAATAAGAGCCGACATTCAGAATTTTATCGATAATCGTCCTTGTAGTTTACTGATCTAAACCATAACTCTCATCACACGCTATATTCTGCACCTGGAAACGCCAGCTGTCTGCCATTGAGGCTTCACGCCATGGCCTGGCGTCACCCAGCATGTGGAGCTCATCTGAAGGCAAGGAGATGAGACCGTGAATAATCTACTGTAATGTATTGAGCTCGCCGTCTGGGAGTGACAGGAGTGTAATTGTGTCAGCTAATGCTAGATTTGTTAGAAATTGTACCTTTTTCAAAACTCTAAATGTACAGAATGTCGTCACTGGTAATCGGCAATTAGCCCGAAAAGCGACTGATAATCTGTATCGGCTCTGGAAAAATGAAAACGGTCAATCCCTACATTAAAGGGTCTGACAGATTGTGTAGTGATGTCTGGCTTCATGGGGGAGGAAGCAGAAAGTAACTCCTCTTTTGACTGTAAATAGTGTGTTTTTGTTTTTGGGGGGTGGGGGGGGAGAGAGATTTTTTATTTTTTTTTGTCCTTTGTTTGTAATCCGGGTTTTAATGACTTACTATATGAAAGGTAAAGTGACTTGATGATCTGTCAGGTGGGGACGATATTGTGCGCTCAATGGAGCCCTTGGCTATCTTCAAAACACTTGTTTAACGTGAAAATGCTCGAGTAGAGGAACAACCAATATAAGGCTGCTCGTTCAGTTTGGCTGGGGCAGTCCTGTTTCCTGGCACAATGTCCCCTGTCTGTTTGGCTTTCTGTGAATGTCCTGTGGGTTGGTAGTGATGGCTTGGTACAGAAAGATACTGGCTGTTCTCACGCCTATAATAAGCGGTCAGGCTGGATCCGGTGCACGTTCTGAGTCTGAGATTCTAGTCCATATTTGGGGGGCTGAAATGTAAGAAATAACTAACCTCTGTGAGTTCTGCATAAATGTCTAGTTTCATTTTGTTTTTACTTTATTGCACTATATACATGCTTTAAGTTATTACATTTTTATTTATTAAAGCTAATTGTCAAATTGAACTACCTTTTTTTGTGTTGCTTTCAAATATTACTTCTCATCTTATTTTTTTATATTTTCGTGTCTGTGTGTAACATTGACATTATGTAACAGCTACTGCCTGATCCAACACTACACTTTCATACAAATGTGGTTTTTAGATTTATTTTTTTTTAAAAAGATTTTCTCATTTAATTTCCACATGGCGACTGTAATGGAGCACTTGCGCATCCGCCATCTCTGCGTATCTATCATTCCCCGTGGCAGCGCAGATCTCACGTTGCTGTGTACTTTTGTCACAAGTCGCTAACCTGTAGCTGTGATTCGCGTTCAGTGCGTGGATCCCATTTGAAATTCATCTGGACCAAATACGCTGAAAAAAGCCTCGAATAAAAAAAAAACTTTTTTTTTATTTTATTTTTTTTTTATTTATTGTTGGACTGCCATTTTAATTAGTTACTGTTATGATATATGGGACGAACCAGCCTTGTTTAATAATATTTATTATTATTATTATTATTATTATTATCATCATTTATTTAGCCCCAACATACTCTGCAGATATTTACAATATTATAAAGAGGGACATTTAACAAATAATGAGAATAGGTTGAGGACTCGGAGTACCCTGCTAGAAAGAGCTTACAATGTAGAGGAGGTGGAATATAAAAACACAATACGAGGAGTAGAGCAGGGGATGGCAACCAAGTGACAGGCTTTAAACTGAAAGGTGAGCGTGAAGTGTGGCCCTTTAAAGCGGCATTGTCATTGCAGAATTCTCAGTCATCCGACGGTAAATGTGAGTTAACTTACCTGAATCTGGTGCTGCAAACTATTTTTTTTTTTGGCTTCCTCCTTCAGTGCTGTACAGTATTAAGGTCTATGGTGGATCCCCTCCATAGACCCAGCCTACTCCTTACAGCTGTGGGGGTTGACTCTTAGACTTTGCCTTGCGTCAAGCGGAGGACAAATACAGAGAAAAGTAACACCTAATTTGTCTCTAAATCTCTTGACGCGTGGAATTTCAGTAAAATTACAATAATCTATAGGAGTATTTCACTTTAAAAGAGCCAGACACCGGTTAATGAAATATAAGTTACTATGGGAGGCCATGGGCTATTCGGAAGAGATGGGTTTTGAAAAACTTCTCAAATGATTAAAGACTAGAGGAGAGTCTAATGAGGAAAGGAGCCGCCCAGCAAGAAGTCCTGCAAGCGCGAGTTGGCAGTAAGGGTGCGGGCAGCAGACAGAAGAGGCTATAAGCGTTGGTATTGTTTCTTTTTAGAATAGGTGGTTTACTAGCTTGCTTACTACCCTCCAATGTCCTCCTGCTACCAATGCCCCTTCCCCAGCAAACACTACAGTATGCAGTGTCTACATTGTAACCAGTAAACAGGACTATAAAACTACAATGCACTTTAAACTGTTTTCAGGCCATAAAGATCTTTGTACACATTATGCAGGTACTTCCCTCCCTTCCCCAACACTGATCAGAAGTAAAGTTTGGAAATGTGTGCTTTTCATATCCTTGAAATCACATTATGCAGAACCAATCTTTCGCAGTGTAACAAATTGTATGGGTGATTGGACTGAAATACATGGTGACTGTACATTAATAGAGAGCATGGGGACATAGTTGGTACCTGGCTGTATCGGGTTATCGGAGGTCACTGATAACAGCGTCTGTGTAATGTTTTATTAGGTTTTGTTTTTCCTGTTTGTGGAAAGTTAAAATCAAACAAAAAAACAAAACAAAAACAACCTTCCGTGTATTAAAAACTAAAGTCTGGAGTTTATTCACTAATTGGTAAACGCTGTTAAAATGAAATTTTACTTTTTTATCCTAAATTTTGCATATTTTATATCAGGAATATAGATTTGGCATTTTAAAAGCCTCAAGGTTTGTTTTAATTTTTTTATTACTACATTATTTTCTTTTTTATATGGTGTGTGTGTGTGTGGTTTGTGTTATTTTATCTATTTATGATCATGTCAGCTGTTATGAGATCTCCTGGTCGTGTTGTTTTTTTTTTTTTCTTTCACTTTTTTTTTTTTTAAATTAGTTTTTCAAAATATACAGTGAGAGAATAACAAGTAGACGTATGACAGTCGTCTCATTGCAAAAATCAAAACATAAGGTTATAAGACAATAGTTTCTGGAAGTGCTGGCAGACCTCTATCGTTCATCAACGTACCTTTAAAACGAACGGTTTGCTGGAGTCGTACGGAGTTTGGCATTGGGTAGGACAGGGTCATCCCCTGTTTGCAATGCTAGGGATTTCCACTGTCAGTGGCCCTTTGTTCAACTTGTTTATATAAATACAGGGTGGCCCATAAGTCCCTACCCATCCTGCACACAGATACACTAGATATATAAGATATAAGGATGGGTAGGGACATATGGGCGACCCTGTAGATAATGGGAATGTGTTTAACTGTTATCGGCAGTACGTTTTTGAAGCGGATTTCAGATGATTGGAGGCTGGTCTCGTAGCGCTTGTGGGGCCTCAGGTCACTCTTATCTACCAGTATGTAGGTCCTTCACGGTGTCAGCAAACCCCTTACGCCCGGTGTATCCAGTCTCCGACTTCTGGGGCTATTGAACTGCTGTTTAGGCATCTGGACTTCCTGAGGTATTCCCCCTTGCCCTGCCCGACCACTACGCAAGTCCCAATCTAGGATCAGGGAGTTATATTCTTAGGATACCTGCAGCAGTGGGAACATTACAGTGAGAGATGGAAAAGCCATGTTATCAATTATGGAAAGACAGAGCCTCGAAGGCAGAGACATCAAGAATTATGAAAAAGAGAAGGGGGTAAGGGTGAGAGCTAGGAGAAGAAAGAAAAGGAGGGGGGGAGATGAGGAAGGAGATCTCCTGGTCTTTAATCATCGCACATTATCCCTGTGGTCCGTGTATTTAAACTCTAAGGTCTTGCAGACTGGCCCACCTGCAGTGCAGTACTTGCTGTGGTTGTCTGAATCAGAGTAATTGAATGTAACATACGGGATTTAATTTGTAACCTGCACAACCAACCAAGTGGTATATTGATCATGGCTTGTGTCCTACCACTGCTCCTAGCCAGCTGCATGATGTGTGTTGTGTTATAGTAGAGCTTTTTTTTTTTTTTTTAAATACATTGTTTTAGCTGTGTGTGAAGGTGTTGTGTTGTTTTTCGATTGGTAGAACATTTAGAAGTTGCAGGACACTACGGAGGAGGAGGATCGCCTGCTAAGGGTTGGGTGATCTTCCATACGGAGACCATACACTTATCAATAATTCAGTGCTGGCGTCTTGTCTATCAAACTGAACTCTGTATGTGATTTATATGCAATTCAGGCTAGTAGGCCTCCCTTTAAAAAGGAAACTATTGTCCTCAAAACAACGTTGGCTTAATGAAGAAGTTTTGGTGTATAGCTCATGTCACTGCAGTTTAACTGCTCAAATCTGCCATTTAGGAGTTGTCACTTTTATTTTATTTATATTTACTTTTTGTGTGCAATAGCAAGCATTTGGCATTAATCACGGTAATACATCGTTGTTGCAGTGAGTGTACTAACACATTTTTATGAAGGAAAGAAGAAACAGTATATTTGAACCTAAACAAGAGTAAATTAAAAACGGGATAATGCGGAATTAGCTCTATAGAGAGATCAGCTATATTGCAGAGTATGCTTGACAGAAATGCAGAATTAAGCTTGAGTATCTAAATCTGCAGTGATAGAGCAGAGCTAAAACTAATATTCAGAAAATAATAATAGATTCAATTTGCACATCTACCACCCTACAGCTCCAGACCCAGGTGGGAGACATCTGTATTGAATAAGAGCTTACAATAGTTGTGACTGCACCCATGGTATGCTAAATTGATTAATAGAAATGAAACTTTTTTTTGTCAGTGAAAGACAACAGAGGATTAGTAAAGAGCACGTTAAACGAACATTCAGCTACCATAGTTATAGCATGTAGCATATTGCTTGACTTGGATTTCAGCCTATTCCCATTATGGGGGATTTACTGTCCCACAGAACCGGCGGTGTCAGCTGCTGATCTAGCATGTGTAGGTGCTTTCCTCCCTTCTCCTCAGGTCTCCACTTGTCGCTCGTGTGTTTCCAGGAGCTGTATCGCTGTGGAGCACCATGGCTCACTGCATGTCTGCTCGTTGGCTGTCGGCGCGCAACTTGTTTTGTGGCACGTGGACATGGCCTCTACCGTCTCAGGCGTAGCGGACCCCATGCTGCTGGGCTGCTTGGTGTGTGACAGGCTGGTCGTGTGGGAATCATCACGATCTCAGGTAGTGGCTGCTTTGCCCTTAGCTTCTCCCAAAATGCTTTGAAGAGGGCATCCAGGTGCTGGAGAGTAGTGGACATCACTCCTCCTTGGATGAAGGCATCCGCAGTGTCTGCCATCTTAGGGATACCTTGGACGGAAATGTCTGCTTCTGAGGTACTGCCGTGGCTCCTCGGTGGGTCACGAGAGCCTGCCAGGTGGGGACCGGGATCACCCCCACCGATCCAAAGGGGGGGGTAGGGGGGCATCAGTAACACGCTTTGGGCTCTGCCAACGCCTGTCTGGGAGTGCGGCCATCTCTCCCCTACAAAGCGCCTGCCAGGCCTCATTGTACTTTGGCTACTAGATTGCTTAAGAGGTCTGCAGGATGTGTTCCCCAATCTCTGTCATGTCGTAGGACTAAGAGTAAGTATCAGGTTTAGGAATAGTTGCTGAATTAGCTCAGAAGTTCAATTTGTACAATGGAGCTCCCCAGAAACATGTCTAGTCGCCATGCTGGTCAGGCCCTGCCCCTTGAATCACTTTTTGGTTTCTGCTAATGCAGCCCTAGCCACACCTCCCCTGGCTGGGACTCACACAGACTGCATAAAAAAATGTTTCATTTTCAATCAGATGTTAACTTACACTAGAAGTTTGTATTTTTCGCTTTGTAAGTCGAACTTTAATCACACAGACCATTCCTCCAACAATGTTTCATTACATAATGGGTATAAAGATACCGTATATATCTGTGAAAAGTGCAAAAATGACAAAAAGGTTTATATGGATAATACCTTGCAGTAGCTGTGTTTTGGAATTTTCAATATTTGTTTTCATAATTGTATATACTTTTTTCTAAGCTTTCTCAGTAAGAGCCAAACTGTGTCTAGCTCAGAATGAAGGGATTTGTGTAAATAGGACGGTTCTGAATGTAAAGAGCTGGCGTTTTCTATAGCACACTTGTAATTGTGGTTGTAGACAAAGTAGGTGATTGATGTAGTGCTGGATATCATCATGATTAATGCAACTTTGGAAGAAAAAAAACAAAACCCCAGTGAGAGCAATTTTTGGTCCAATCAATAAAAGTTGAGCAATCGCCATGCAAACTAATGGACAGACAGCTGATTTTGTCCCATTTGGGTTTTACACGGTTATATGTGTGGTTTGTTACACATATAATTTTACTATAGGTAAACGAAACTTTTGATATCGCCAGTGAATCTACTATGAGGGTATAACCAAGATAAAATAGGCAAATTCTCTAAACCGAACAATCCAAGTATAATGGAGGCTGAGCGTGATTTCAGGGTGCTAAATACAGCGTCCCAAAGACAGTTATTGTGTGTTTTCTAATGTATGTATAAATAACGTTTTATTTACATTTTCATAAATTTTATCCAACGGAGGTAATCTGTGCAAAATCAATTGTATATCTCACCTTTTCACAAATAATGTAACCGTCCAAAGTGTCCATATGCTTCTTTGAACCTTTTTTTAGTTTTTTTTTTTTTATTGAATAAATGCACTAATCAATTATGTATTAATCATGTAGTCACAAAACGAAAATGTCAATGCACTGTTGAGGTTATCCCTTTCTAAAGTCTAAAATTGTGTAAACGCTGTGTTGGCGCGGAGACCATGTAACTAGGACACGTGCATAGGCCAGTGTTTAATTCATATCACATTAGGCATCATGTGACCCTCACATGACAACACAACTGGGTCAAAGCTGGGACTTAACTTGCTTCCAAGTTTGAAACCAGTGATTAACAGTGATTCAGGGATCGATTGCCACTTCACGTTTTTATTTTTTTTATTTTACTGTGTGTGTGTGAGAATTTGTGATCACTGAAAAATGTTACATTTTGAAAATCACACCTCCTTATCATTTAACTGAGCTGCCATTTTAGCTCGCTGTCAATGTTACAAGCCCTGCCCTTTGCGCCTCGCAGTCAGCATAGAAAGCATACAGAGGAGAGCGCAAACTTGATTTCTATTTCTTCTCTACATTTGCAATATTTGCTTATCCTGATTGCTAAATCTTTAATTTACATTTTTAAAAGAAAACCAGGCTTCTCATGGAAAAAAAAAAGTTAAAGCAAGGTACAGGTGACTTTTACTGATTTATTAAATGGTGACAGAAGTGACCATTCCTCATTACCGTGTGTTCCCTTGCCATCTGCATTTTAAATACGTGTTCGCTAGACTCAAACCTTTTCTTATTTTGCCCCATTCACTAATGCTTCTTTAGCTGAAGTTCACATACCAGGCAGAACAGACATTGAAACAATTGCAGCATTTGGCAGAGCTTATATAATTCAGGCTAAGGTACTCGCTGATTGTGTCGACTTTAAATGTGATTCCTTCCTTAGCCATTGACCCGCCTCCTTGCTAGTCATTATGAGTGTCCGTTTAATTTTCAATCTGTTTTTAAAGGGAAATTATAGTTATCATAACATATACAGCTTGGTATAGTGGTTCTTGTGTTTTTAGTCTGTAGCTGCAGGCTGAGCAATGGAAGCACTGCCTTTTCAGAGTTTACATTGCTCCCTAGTAACATGTCTAGACGCAGTCACTCAAACTGGCACTAGAGGTGCTTCCTGTGTTAGTGCTGTACAATGTGCAGCACCTATGTTCATCGTCTCCACTCTCTGCATGAAGACCCTGAATGCATTTCTATGACGAGAAGCTGATTGGTGCAGCATGTTGTTTTTGCAGTGCACAGGTTTTGAAATGCTTTCCGGAGATCAAAATGCATCATCTCAGCCACGGAGGCAGGGCCAGCTGCAGGAAAACTGGCGCGGCAAGGGAGAAAAGGGTATGTTTTGAAACCTTATTTCTCCACACGGAGGGGCCCAGGGACGCAAACAGGTTAAAAAATATAGTGTTAGGAATGTTTTTTTTGTGTTCCTTTATTTAAAGTCAACATTTTCAACTTTTGGAAGTGCTCATACTTATAGGAACACTTTAATGTTAAAATGTATTACAAATAGATTTGCTCGATGATTTTAGCATCTGTGTTCCCTTTTCGAATATATTACTGACCTCCCATCAAAGAAAGCCATAAAACTTGAGTGTATGTCAGAAGCAGAATTCTCCTCACTTCTTGAAATCCCAAAAATCTTAAGGAATAAGTACATCCAATCCGCATTAAGAGACTCTGCCAAATACAAACCTTGCCATTTCTCTGAAACTGCAATTCTTTCCATTTAAGAAAAGGCACATATATCATGCAGCACAATCACTACAGCAGAAGTGGTTTTGGTACTTAGTGCGTACCTTTTAATGGAATTTATAGTATTTCTATGGAAACATTATATTATTTCTTGTATAAGGTTCCGTTTATCACAAGTTGTCTTAGTTTTTATACCCATTGTATATGTGGCTGGCGTATTACACATGTATCCATTAACTGCCTTATGTGAAATGGATACCAAACAGCGCTATGTATCCACTCCAGGAGAACAGGAATACAATTTAAATACAACTCAGAGTTTATCTCTTTGCGCTTATCCTACTTTCTATTGTTTTTATACAATTTACAGCTTCAGGATCCAGTTACTTGCACACTATCCCAAATCCCTGTGCAGATTTAAGTAACTGGAGGTCATTTAGTATCACTCCAATGGTCATTAAAATGTTAGCTCACCTGCCACGTTGAGGCAAACCTTAACTACACGAACAATTCACGCAACTGCTTTCAGTTAAAAAGAGAAAAATAAATACCATAATACAACTCCTACACACCTATTAACCCTTAATAGCGAACACATGGCAGCACTGTAACATGATTGTGTAATACAAAAACACACAAATAAGGCCTGCGCTCAAACTCCCATTACTCCTGGGCGGCAGCAATGACTATAGTGCACATCAGTCCCAATACATACAATAAAAACAAAGAAATGAGTTACTATATTAGGTTTTGCCTTGACGTGGCAGGGGAGTTTCAATGGCCTTTGGAGTGATACTAAACAAAAACCCAAAACAAACAGGAAAATCCTTCAATTCATTAAATGTGCATAGGGACCTGGAATAATGCGCAAGTAACTCCCACCCCATCATTATTTATTGTATGTATTGGGGCTGATGTGTACTATGGTCTTTGCTGCCGCTCAGAATTAGAAGTTGGGTGTTTTGAGCACAGTGCTTAATTTTGTATGTTTATAGTGTCTGCTCTATAGTCCATTGTGTTTAACTTCCACTACCTACAGTACTAATTAATGCAGAAACCTTCTGTAAATTTACATCAGGCCTTCAGATACACCCAATGGCTGCTTTAGAAATGATGGTAAAGTAGTATTTATTACACGTGTGCATAAACAGGGCATGATATGAAAGTAGATATTCCTTGATGCTATCCTCGACTATTTCCATAGCGCCAACATATTCCGTAGCGCTATACTGCGTATTTCCTTTACTGTGTGAGCTGTGCTAACATGCTCCTTAACCAACCGTGAATGGGAAATAAACAGAAAATAAAGAAATCAGTTGAAATTTTTTTTTGCACAAAATGCTTCCATTACAGCGGTGTTGGGGGAGGCAGCCTAATCCTAACAGGATTATTAAATTTAATAGGTTCTTTTTATGTGCTGGATTTGAGTACCCACTAAACGTGAATGTGATTGTTACCTGGCCAGCAGGCAGTGGTTATTTCACAGAGGGTAGATCTGGTACAGGTTCACTATAGTCAACAAAAATACCTTCTCTCAAAGTGGTTTGGGTGCTGTCTGTAACCCTGCAATGTGTAAAACAAAAAACAGCTATTAACATTGCAGTCTATAAAAACTATCTTCTTGGCAGCCACTATGTGCTCCTGTGGCCATGTAATGAATAAGCCCATAGGAAAGGATTGAATGTATGACTTGTGAGATTCCCTGTACTCCTCTGAAAATGTTTATGATACACGGGATGGTTCGGACACTAAACTATAGCAGGAAACTATTAGGAACATAGGATTTAATCCTTAACTCCAGTATTCCTTTAAGTATCTTTTAACATACATTTATCTTTTAGCTGTTTTACAGCATCAGACATATTCCTGGTTTGTGTGGAAGGAGGCAGACCGACTGTGTGCAGCCCCAGAAGGGGCAGATAGCATAATCACATTCCAGTAACTACACCACACGTTAGGTGGAGGCCTGCTTTCCATGTCTACACAAACATCTCCAAATTCTGATCTCGGGGTGGGTATTTAAACTGTAACCCAGTCTGTCACTTGTTAATCATCAGATACAAATTGCAATGTTATGTGTGTGTTTATAAATGTGTTTAAATTGCTTATACATAAAAGGATTCTTGGATGTCTGAAACAAAATAAATTCAATTAAAAGGTTTAACCTATTTTAACCATTTTCTTTTTCTTTAAACAAATATACTGTTCTGATAAAAACGGAGAGCTAATGGCTGTGAAGTAACTTAAGCAAATGTTAAATTAACTTTTAAAGGTAGCCTGTACTCAAAAGCCAGCATAGCATTAAAAAAACTCAAAGCAACTTCCTACTCCATGGGAAATAAAGCAACGAAGGTACTGGCACAAAGGCTCCGGACGAAACAGGCACAAGCACGCATCCCATTCATAAACACACTGGGGCCAAGATAATACAAGATAATACAACCCGCACAAATCTGCAACGAATTCGCACACTATTACTCCACCCTATATAATCTAAAAGACCAGCGCACTCTGGCCCAACCCACACCAATTCGCAACTATCTAGCAAAGATTGCTCTCCCCAAACTCCTTGCACAGCACACAGCACAACTATCAGCACCGATCACCACAGACGAAGTGCTCAACCAGATAAACAAAATGCCGAAAAATAAAGCACCGGGCCCGGATGGCTACACCAACGCTTACTACACTGCCTTCAAGGCTGAAATTGCCCCAGACCTCACGCGTTTCTTCAATGAAGCCACCCGACTAGGAACCTTTCCTGCCGAGTTCTTATCGGCACATGTCATCACTATCCCCAAACCGGGGAAGCCCCCCCGACCACATGCCAAAACTTCAGACCAATTTCTCTCCTAAATGCAGACGCAAAACTCTACGCCAAAATCTATGCAGAACGACTCAAGACCATATTGCCAACACTAATTCACACAGACCAGGTGGGATTTGTGGCAGGAAGGCAAGGACCGGACAACACCAGGAAAGTACTGGACCTATACAAAATATTAAAAAACACCAAACAACAGAGTGTTATGTTATCCCTAGACGCCGAGAAGGCGTTCGACCGCCTGAATTGGCAATTCCTTCAGGAAACCCTACAGGCTTACGGCTTCCCAGCCCCCTTCCTCTCTGCAGTCAGAGCTCTGTACAGTGATCCCAGGGCGACAGTACTCACCTCGGGATTTAGCTCACAGGCCTTCCCCATTACGAATGGAACCCGACAAGGATGCCCACTGTCCCCTCTCCTTTATGTGTTAGCCTTGGAACCCCTGGCAATAGCAATTCGGTCCAATGATTCCATCCGGGGTGTACCAGTAGGCCAGACAGAATACAAACTAAGCTTATTCGCCGATGACATCCTCCTCACACTCACACAGCCACTCATAACACTCCCCTCCTTGCACAAAGAAATACATGCATACAGCCAACAGTCTTATTACAAGCTCAACGTGGCTAAAACACAAGCAATGTGCCTCAACACACCAAAACACATAGAAACACTCCTGAAATCCGGCCATTGCTTCGACTGGAGGGAAGTCTATCTGGTGTACTTGGGTGTCAAAATAACCCACAGAGAAAATGAGCTATTTCCTACCAACTACGCAAAACTGCACAATGATATAGACACCCAACTGCAAACATGGAAGGGCCTATACCTATCATGGGTTGGAAGAATAGCGGCATTGAAAATGACAATTCTACCTAAAATTCTCTCTCTCTTCCGGACGCTACAAATCAAAATCCCACAAAGCTATCTCACAAAATTACAGGCCACCCTCCTCAGATTCAGCTGGGGCGGCAAACACCCTCGAGTCCCCAAATCGCTGCTGCTGAGGAATGCGAAACATGGGGGAATGGGCTTTCCTAATATCAAAGCGTATTATCACTCCGTCATCCTTACGAATGTGATCAGCGCCCACTCGGCCACATATAACCCCCGATGGGTAGCGATAGAGAATAATTATATTGGGAACCAGGACCTGCCAACAATGCTCTGGATACCCCGGCACTTAAGACCGAAACCTACAACCATGCTGACCACCACCAAGCGCCTCCTTACAATATGGGACACCTACAGGGACCTATTGTGCTCAGCACACCCGTGGGCCCTAGCAACTCCAATCCGGACCTTGCACCAATGCAATGGCACATTCCCACATCATAAGTGGGAAGAAAAGGGAATTACACATGTCTACCAACTGTGCACCAAGGAGGGTCTCAAATCGTTCCCAGACCTACAGAAAGAATTTGCCCTACCCCCGAGCTACACATTCGCTTATCTACAAATCAAAGCGCTGATGACCCACAACGTAATCACAGATATGAAACACTCACTGAGATCATCCATAACGAAATTTGAAGCACAATGCCTCTCCCTAGACCCCCCGAAGAAAACGGTCTCTACCTGTTACGACTACCTCGCCAACCCTAACAACAACGTCACATGGAAGTTCATGCAGGACTGGCAGACAGACCTCCAAGTCACAATATCCCCAAAAGACTGGTAAAAGATCTTCACCTCTCATGTAGGGCTGACAACAAGTACAGCACACCTGGAAGCATCCAGGAAAATCTTATACCGATGGTACATGGTACCGACCCGACTGCACACCATATTCCCCGACACATCAGACCTATGCTGGCGCTGCCAAGCTACTAAGGGAACTATGATACATATGTGGTGGACATGCGACAGTGTGCAAGATCTATGGAAAGCTACAGCCCAACTTATAAGGAATGTCACAAATCTCCAACTAGCTCTTGACCCTAAAACGATGCTACTCCGATTGCTACCAGACGACTTTCCAAAACCGATCAAGAAATTGATATACCTCATCCTGGGCACGGTGTCCATATTAAAAGCCAGAAAATGGAAAACAGCGGACTTGCCCTCCAACCGAGAAATTGAAATAGAAGTGACATTGGCAATGGAGTACGAACTCATCATGTGGAAGCAGGCAAAAATCGGGAAATTAAGCCCCTACACCGCCATGATATGGCGAAACTACACACAACAACTCACACAAAACCAACACAGATCTTCCTAGGCCCACAGAGAAGCCACAGCACTGGCTGCCAAAAGGAAAACACCCTTTAAACCAGCACCGATCTCCCGACACACTTACCAGACTATCCTGAAACATAGAGGTCATGACCTTAGGACCCACCAGCAGCCGCAAACCGGTACCACGCTGCTACCCCCTTCCACCTGTCACCTGCCCTCCAATTCACTGGAACCCCCCACATTCCTGCTCCCCCCCCCTCTCTAACCTCATAACACAATACAGACACCCTGCTCAGCGGCGATTAAATTAAAACACACAAGACATTAAAATGTATAAAACTGGTTATTCAGGAAACGTTAAAGCGGCACTGTTAGGGCCGCAGTCGTTTTTAACACCCCTCCCAACTCCACTACATTTCATTGTCCCCCTAGCCACCCCCATTTCACACTTTTTAACTTAATTTATCGCCTGGACCTAGGCGTTGCCATCTTAGTGTGGGACACGTGATCTGCTCACACTAGATAACATGCTAGAATTCTCCTGCTTGCCCAGTTTAACACTTGGGCATTTGCTATTGTCTGAAATTCAGACAGGAATTTCAGCTATTCATTCATTAGCCAGAAAGACTAATAAATGAATAAGGAAGACTGAATTACGGTCTTTGTTCGTTTATTACAAGGTAGGAGCTACCAGCTCCCTATTTGTAATATGTAAAAATAGAAGCTTTGAGTCAAATTGCAGGGCATGGGAAGACCTTATAAGCTTTTTCCCACCCTGCAGTGTTCAGTCTTCACAGAGACCTCACTGGGTGAAGATGGATTTTTTGTTTTGTTTTTTTAAATCAGGAGTCAGCTGCAAGTGAATGGTTCGGTCAAGTAAAGGCTCTGCAGCCACAGATCACCACAGTGCAAACAAAGCACTCACCATCGGGGGTTTTTGCAAAATATTTAAAGACCCCAGAAGGTGATAGAGGTGCTTTAACAGAATTTACAACTTCTTTTACACTGAGATCTGGTCATATGTTTCACTAACCTTTATTAGAGGTAATATCCATTAGGACCAGAACTGTCAAACGGAAAGTTAACTTACTTCACAACCATTGCAAAGTACAGTTTGAGAGCAACAAAGGACTGCTGACTGAACTTTTGCAATTAGTTTGCACCCACTGAACCAACTCACATTAACACCTGAAGTGGCCTTGTTATCGTCACACATCTTATCAACAACACCTGAGAAGCAATGATCTACAAGGTGTGCTCTTCCTGTACAATCCTTAAATCTTATTAACAGACAAGTGAAGGAATAACCAAAGAAAAGCAGGTACCTGCGCACTTCCCAAATCCCTATGCATATTTAAATAAATGGAGGTTAATTAGTAACTCCAATGGTCATTAGATGCAGTACAGGAATAGTTTGCAGGCTGACAAACTAAGTAAGGAATATATCCTACTTTGCTCAGAGTCCTTATTCCATGGTACCACAAGAAAACAGACTCAACCGGTGGACACGGACCATGAAGTGCAGCTAGTTTCCCCAAAGGAAAAGAACAACCAGGAGACTGAGTCCAAAGAAAGAGTAAAGCAAACAAAAGTAATGATTTATTGCACAGCCAAAATAACATAGCAAGGAATAAAAATAAAATATATATATATATATATATATATATAGCAAAAAAAAACAGAGTATTGTAGTATGCAATGATACATTTTTTATTGGACTAACATAATATTTCAAAGACAAGCTTTCGAGAGTTTTCTTCTCTTCCTCAGGTCTGAAGCATAAACTCTCCTCTGTTTATGTACTTTTTCTGGATATTCTCAGCCAACCTGCACCTTTTACTTTCAGGCACATCTTCTGCTATTTATGACACCTCCCTCCCTCCCCTTCTCTAACATCAGTTGTTTTAAGTGTTAAACTCTATCAGATTGATCAGTATAGCTTCAGACTTGAGGAAGAGAAGAAAACTTTCGAAAGCTTGTCTTTGAAATATTATGTTAGTCCAATAAAAAAGGTATCATTGCATACTACAATACTCTTGGTTTTTGGCATTTTGTCTACTGGACTAATACTGCTAGTCCAATCTATAATATATTAAAAAACAAATAAAACACTTTAAACACTTCAACATGTTAACACACTTATTCAGACAAGTGTTAGAGCCTTAATAAGTGCAATATGTGTTAGGTAGCTCTAGGTGATTTTAAAAATTTGGTTCTGTGCTACGTTGGATGTACAACAAATGTTTACTTTGAAATAATACAAACAGGTATGTCTACAGAAGTGATAATTGCTCTCAACACCAGTGAGGTATCCCCTACACCTTCACATAAAATGACATATATTACACAGAAAATAGGTGGAGCAAGTGATAACAGTAAAATGTACATTTTACTATTATTATCACTTGCTCCACCTATTTTCTGTGTAATAAATGTTTACTTTGGTCTATTTCAGATTTACTCAAATGATGAAAGGGACAGAACATTGGGCAACACTGTTGGGGTCACATTACTTTTCCTGATCTTTCCGCAAATAATAATCTGCAATCAATAGGGCAACACAATCAGAGTTAGTCAGTAAAGTGAGAATTTCAAAATCAACAAACTCGAACAGTTCTCTAGATCTGCTATGGTTTTAGTTTGAAATTATTTTACGCACTTTGCATTCACTCATTTTGGTGAATAACACTGTACCTTTCCAAGTCATAACCCAAGTTTTACCCACCTATAGCCAGGCTCTGCTGTGGCCACTCACTGCACCAGTGAACGTTTGCATTAGTTATCTCACTTGTGGCAATGATTGGAATTAGGAAATTATTGCAAGTACTGGTTTCCCCCTTCCCAGATGTCATTACTGCCAGTGATTGATAGACTAAAGGGATTGTTCACTAATCATTTTGGGAGTGCCAGTGTTGCTACAATAAGATAAAGAATATATTTTTATCAGTTCTACAAATGCTCAAATAAAATGTTACGGCATTCTGCTTTTGGCATGTTCCCAGTTGATATTAAAGGTTTTTATTTTTATTAGTGATATTGCCGAAAGACTTGATTAAGGTATGTCTTTTTGCTGATGATACTAAGATATGTAACAGGGTTGATGTTCCAGGAGGGATAAGCCAAATGATTTAGGTAAACTAGAAAAATGGTCAGAGTTGTGGCAATTGACATTTAATGTAGATAAGTGCAAGATAATGCATATTGGAAGTAAAAAACCCAAGGGCAGAGTATAGAATATTTGATAGAGTCCTAACCTCAACATCTGAGGAAAGGGATTTAGGGGTGATTATTTCTGATTAATTAAAAGTAGGCAGACAATGTAATAGAGCAGCAGGAAATGCTAGCAGGATGCTTGGTTGTATAGGGAGAGGTATTAGCAGTAGAAAGAGGCAAGTGCTCATACCATTGTACAGAACACTGGTGAGACCTCACTTGGAGTATTGTACACAGTACTGGAGACCTTATCTCCAGAAGGAGATTGATACTTTAGAGAAAGTTCAGAGAAGGTCTATTAAACTGGTTCATAGATTACAGGATAAAACTTTCAAGGAAAGGTTAAAGACGCTTTACATATACAGCTTTGAGGAAATATGAGATGGGGGAGACATGTAAAGGAGGGGACTATATTTCAAAGAAGAAAAACTACCACAAGAGGACAGTCTTAAATTATAGGGGCAAGCTACAACTAGCCTAGGAACATAAAGGCACTTAAACACATCACATCCATTCTTACTACATGTGTTCTACATACGTGGTTTTCTTCGGTTCATTATATATTTACTTTTTATTGTTTATCTCTCTGGCTCTACTCACTACTAGGGACCTGTGAGTCCCATATGTACAACTGTCCTACTTCCTTGTACTCTTGTTTATGAAAATCTAAATAAAAAGAGATTTACAAAAAAAAAAAAAAAATTATAGGGGCAAAGGTTTAAAAACACTATCCAGCAGTATTACTTTACTGAGAGGGTAGTGGATGCATGGAATAGTCTTCCAGCTGAAGTGGTAAAGGTTAACACAGTACAGGAGTTTAAGCATAAGGCTATCCTAGATATAAGATAAGGCCAGGGACTAATGAAAGTATTTAGAAAATTGGGCAGACTAGATGGGCCGAATGGGTTTTTATCTGCCGTCACATTCTATGTTTCTAAAGATCAAACTGTCCACATTCTTAAAATCTTGGTTACTCAGATAACCATTCTTTAGGATGACAAACAGTATTTCACACTGAAGTCTACGCACAGACATCAGAAATGATTAGTTGTCAGGATCACCCAGCCCATAGCAAGATTTTATCCAAATTCAGTCCATCTGGCTGGTGCTACGAACACATCGTACGTGCTTTGCTTACCCGCTTGGCATTCACTTTTTTGACGCCTCTACCGTCACATTCTATGTTTCTTTTCCCATAATTTAGAATGGGTTGTTGAGTGGGTCAGGATTCATTCACCATCCAGAATTCTGTTTGCACAGGCTGACCCTTCTTATTAACATTTGTGTTTTAGGGAAATTCGGCATTTGAATTCTCTTAAACTGCAAAGGGGGCTTAATTTAAGGTTCTGCTTTTAATATTCAGCCATTTTCCTAGCAGCTGTTACTTGCAAGGCATTTCCTACTGCATATCGTATAACATAACTCAGTATCTTGCCTATGTTAGTGCAAAGATGGCTTGACTTGGCAATTGTTAGAGTAAGGTGGCAGAAGGCTTCAAGTAAGTACTTCCCATTGCCCCATGAGGGGTACCAATCAGTCCATGTTGCCTTTGGGAGTAACAAAAGAGGCAGTGGCCCCATAAATGGCCATGTAATTGTGATATTTGCTCCCCAAAACAATGTGTTGTTATGGTGTAGTTATAACTACTTCTGAACTCTTTTGTAAATCTACCATAACTTAGAAAGCATTTGCATTAACAGAATGGAAAATGTTTCTTTTAAAAAGGAAACAAAAACAGCAAATTAGTGTTTAACCAAATTACAAGGCACACAATTCTGGCCTACAAAAAAGGTTTACAGAACCAACTTGAATATGTATTTCTGGCTGATTTAAACTATGCATTTACATGGTTTAACATATTTGTACAAGTTAAAGAAAAATACACTGCACAGTTTAATGTTAGCAGAGCCCCAACTTAAACATTTTTCATCCCTGACTTAAGTACACAACGCCAGGGAGATGAGGAGATGTGTTTATTGTGTGTCATACTGTGACAGTGATGAAACTGTTATATTGTGGCCTACAACTCAATTGTAATTGGACCCCTACATGAAATATTGGTTAGTCTCAGAAGATGCAATGAGATCCTTTGTTTAACGCAGTCTTTTTTTTTTTTTTTTTTTTTTTTTAAAGCGTCTTCACACAAAGCCTGCCAAAAGCATTCCAACACTAGCAAACATTACTCCATATGTGAACCAACCTGCAGAGTCAAGGATGCCATTTTAAGTTGTTCTAAGGGCAGAATTTAGGTGGCTATTATTCAGATTTAAGACCATAACATTTGAAAATATATTCATAATCTGGCTGAGAAGCAAAAGCAAAAAGATGGGTCAGACATTTTTTCCTCACACATTTCCATGGGACTCAAGCACAAGAGTGTTTGGGAAAGGGAGACAAATTAAGGCTTTATCCTTACACATTGTAAACATTTTTGGAAGAGGATCTGTGTGAAGATCAGCTAAGGCTTTGCTGTGATAAACAAGTCATTCATATTTAAACCCGGCATCACTTTAAACGGCTTCGCATACATCCTGTGTGCTTCTTTCCACTTAAAGCTTTCCATTTAACTATCCTTAACAAAAATTTAAGACAAATTTATCAGAATTTGGGAGTGGCCACAGTAAAGAGTATTATTACCCAATGAATGGCAACATTTTTGAGTTCTAGAATGAGCAGCAATTTGGAAGCAGAGGAGGGAAATGTTAAGCCACCTTCTTCTCAAGCAAAATTTTGTGCAGCTCATCAGCATCCCCTGCAGATTTCACCCTAATTAACATAGTGATGGGCACGGTGGGGTTCTTCTCATCGATTGGTGGGTTTGGAACGCACACTATCATAACATTGTTTTTCCCAGTTCTTGAACATGGCATAGAGGGCTGGACGAAAATATTCAGCAAAATGTTACCTACAATAAATTAAAAAAAACATGAACTTCAAAACATGTATAAATCAAACAGGACAGAGTTGTTCTCTATTATATAGACAAGATTTTGAGCTATACCTTGGCAGTAACCAATGTACTGGTTTTTTTATCCACCATTGGGGATATAAGACATATGCGCAAAATGCTTCTTCCAATAACAGGAGCAGAAACTAGTAGAGCACAATGCATATTGCACACCTCACAATGCAGAAAGAGTTTCTATTAAATTTAGCTATTTTAACATATAAATAGAAACATCAATAGTCGGTGAGCATTACATTTCAAAGATCAGGTCTTGACAAATTTCCCTAAGATTTCGAAACAGGAAACAATGTTCATGTTGGGGCTTTTATTTTTGAAATATAACAGACAGGACATGTTCTTACATACTCAGACACAGAAGCAAATAGAAAGCAGGTTCTCACATCACCTTACTGGAGTCACTCACCTAGGTTGGTGTCAGCCCTTATCAAGAGCTGCGTCTTGTCATTAGCAACAGGTTTCAGATGGAGTGTTCCCACTCCCTTCTCTTTAAACTCATTCTCTTTTTTATAGAAGAGTTTGCACCTGGAACAAAAATCAGATTTTTCACAACTAAAAACAATGTAAAAGTACAACATAGTAGAGATACATGCTAGTGAAACTATCTGTAACCCAACCAAAACGTAAAAATAAATATATATTCATATTCTATGGCCTGACTAAAGTATACTGTTAGGGGTTATAGATAAAAGGCAGAGAGGTTAGACACATGGCTCTACACACTTACTGAAAAAACAAAGTACCCAGTTCCAGCCACCTACAACACTTCATAAGCAGCATGCTGGGTACTTGAGTCAAATGACTTAACACCTTCCAAGTGATTCAAACTTGTCACTCTTGGCTAGACATGGCTTATATACAATTTACACCCATCCGTGACAGGAAAAGATACAAACGTATGGAATTATAGTGTAGTGTATCTACGTTCGCATCCTCAACTCTTGTACGTGAGCGGTACAATCCCCACTTAAGAATATGAAGTATACCCCTTGATTCTGACTTTGTACTGCATAAGAAATGCAGAGAAAACAAATAGGTAGAATATAGTGTAGTATATTAATAAAAATAATATTTGCTTAAGTATATAAACAGCCAAATGGCTAAAACCAGCTGCGTTCAGCATTTAGTGACTAGATCTCACAGTACTTTTTAAGAGGTGATCATTTTGCAGACTTTATGAGCCAGAACAGAAAAAAAAGGTGCTATTTAGTATTAAATAAGCACACGCAGTAGTGTTTCAGCTTCCTAGGTTTTGTTAAGACAAGGGCTACCTCCTATGTCTACATTTTACAGTGTGAGAAATATGTCAAAATGCAGTATTGGGTTTTATTTCAAGCACTTTTTTCCTCACCACCTCCAATTATTCTCAATGCACTACTATAAAACATGAGAGGACCATGTCTGGGTCGACCATGGACAGAGAAACTAACTGAAATAAGAAAATTATGTATTGGCACAAGGATAACACGAGCAGACGTGAACAAAGCAATGGTGCAGGTCATTCAAGCAACAAACATTTATAAAACGCAAACAAATTCCACAGTGCTGCACAATGGGTAGACAAACAAGTATATGTGACCAGACTAGTTGGACGCACTGGAACAATTGGGTCGAGTGCTGTGCTTAATGAGCTTACATGTTATTGCATCTTAATGTAGATTAAAAACCTGAAGAGAACTTCACTTACTTTTTGGAATAAAATGCATCATCTTCCTTCACCTCTTGAATTACAGCTTTCGGTGGCTCCTCTTCCTCTTCTGCAGCTCCTGATAATTTGATTAAAAAAAAAAAAAAAAAGTAAACCACATCATTGTTCTTGCACAATTTTCACAGAACTAAAAACTTTGACACATTCCCTTTTCCAAAGAAAATTGTATGCCAAGATCAGCACAAATTGCCAGAGACTACATATCGGTGCCAGTCAACAGGTAGCTACTCCCCGATGTTTTAGTACTACAATTACCACAACATTATTCAACCACCTTTTGGCCATCGCTACAGAAGAAAATATAAAGCTAAACTCCTAAAGGAAGCATAACACTTTTTAGTCTGCATCAGATTTACTGCGCTGCCTCACTGCGCACCTGCCTGGTGATCTTTTATAGATTTGCCTTCTAGTGATCCAATATGAGGATACTTGAAGATGTTATCAGAATTTTTTCCTGCCAGGGAAGGTCTATCATAGTTTCCATTTCTATCACAAGTCAGATACAACTCTGTTGTAATTACCAAAGGGGAATGGGGGAAGGAGGAGAATAGAGATTTGTGAAAAACAGAATGAGCCATGGATTCTGCTATATAAATGGCAATAATAATGTAAGCAACATGCAGGTTTTTAACCCACCACAAGGTGAAAAGTAAGACTGATTACTCACAGTATAGACTACGTTTCTGTGTGCAATCTGGACTTAAATTTCACTCCCTGCCCCTACGAAAAGCTGTCAATATCCCAAATAATTGATTCTCTTTGCATTAGTAACTCACAACAGCAGGAACAGCGAATTACTAAAGTTGAATTGATTGTCAGATCAGACAGGTATGTGATCATAGAGGGACAATACATTTTTTCCCCAATTCTAGGTGTACTGTAAATAAACAAATCTAAAAACAGCAAAATGTCATCAATTCGCACAAAAGATTTTACCTGCATCACCACCATTATTAGATTCGGTCGGCTGGACTGAAGTGGGAGAGGTGGTTGCACCACTCTTCAGATCTTTTCCAAACAGCCCAGCAGAGAATGAAAAGCCAATGGGTGCCGTAGAGGTAAAAGCTGAGCTGTCCACTTTCTGGCCAAAATTAAAGGTAGGCACAGACTGCTGTTTATTTTCTTGCTTGTCTGATGCACTCTCTTTGTTAACTGAAACAGCGCACTCATTACTGCTTTTGAGAGCAGCAAATGAAGGAGTGGTCCGATTCTGCCTTGGCTTGGAGGTGCCATCACTTTCTGAGCCGCTATCTGTGCTAGACCCAAACTTTTGTTCGATGTTAGACAAATGTTTCTCATAGTCCTTAAAGATCGGGGTGAGATCACACAGAGGATTGGCATTGACATGTTTTACAATCCAGTCACGCACGCAGCAGTTCAAGGAGCTTAACTGTTTACTATAGTCACTGTTACTGGACTTATTTGGAGGTAATCCAGAGGTAGATGAAAGGCCTTCTCCATTGGTTTTTGCAGTGCTAGAAGAACCAGCACCTTGGGTGGGTGAAGGGCCATTTGCAAACAAAGATCCTGGAGAGAAGAAAATAAACACTGACTTGAAGGGACAGTGTCGGAACAAACAACTGCATTTAATTTAGCCCTTCATAATTAGATTTTTATTGCAAAGTGCAATTCGTATAGTTTTTAAAAACAAAAATGTTGGCAACATTATGAATCTCAACTCTGCATCTTCTGTCCTAGTCCCCCATTTTTACAACACATTCTGCTGGTAAAGGGACTTCTTGGCCTTCCCAACCAGCAGTTTTTCTTCATTAACTCAGTTCAAATCAGCAAGAAGCATTGGGAGTTTTAGGTCTGTTGACAGTTTTTGTAAGAAGATAGATATTTAAATTACAAGTGCCATAAATTCATGCTTCCTATAAATCTCAACTCCATCAAACTCATTTTTTATTTTGGACTGTCATATATATTTGAAAATTCATTAAGAAATTAATTTGTCAACTGTAATCACTAAAGAGGAATCATCTCAAAAACACACATTTTTGTTTGTTTCTCTAGATCTCGCACTACACCAATCAGCACCTCCTCATACAGCACTGGACTAGGAAGCACCTCTACTAGTGGTCTTACTAGGCAGCAATGTAAACACGGTTTACAATGAAAAGTCTGCAAGGACAGGCTATAGACACCAGAACAACTTCAATAATTTGACACTTTAGTCACCAGAACAACTACAGCTAAATTTAGTTCTGGCAAGTAAAGTATAGGCTTTTTGTTGTAAACCATATAGTGATTTTAACACTGTAGGGCCAGGAATACATGTTTGCGTTCCTGACACTATAGTGCTCCTTTAATGTAGTAGTGATTCTGTTGACTATAGTATCCGTTTAAGAATTGTATTTGGACGTTGAAAATAACGCTTTGTTAGTTTAAAAAAAAAAAATGGCTACTAGATTTAAAACAAATTTGTCAAGCCCTGATGTACTTAACACTCTCCCTGTGATACCTGGGTGCTGCATTGAACCTATTTAGGCCCATTTTCAGTTAACTACTGGAACTGGGCGTGGCATCAGCACCCCATACCCACTTACAGGGGGCACTAGCTACCAAAAAGAGACTACACAGGAACTAACACACATGGATACCATTGCTGGCAGACACGTCACCATAGCCGAATTTCTTTAAAAAAAAATTCTATACCTTTAAGACTTTTGAACTAGAAAGCATTTAGGAGTCAACCAGCGTCCCTTATTTGATCTAGAAGTACTTCTATATAAAACCACAGAATACTTATGGTGGGTTGTGTTTGAGCTCTGCAAAATGAATAACTTACCCAAAGCTGGCTTAGTGTTGGTTGTGGACGTCAAGTTAACGAACAAGGAAGTACTTAGCGTGCTGGATCCATTACTCAACAGTGTCGTAGGTTTAAATCCTGATCCATTTCCAAAAGTAGTAAGGGAAACCCCAGAAGCGGAAGATGATGGGACTAGACCTTTAAATCCTTTAAAAGCACCACTGCTTTCAGACTGAAATTAGAGATATTCAGAATGATGACAGTGACATAGGCATGAAGACACACAAAAAAATAATAAACAAAACTCAAGTTAATCAAGTTCAGCCTTTCATGCATCTGTTACTGCTGTTGATCCAGAAGAAGGTGAAGCCCATACTTGAAGATTTCCAATTCCATGACTAACATGATAATCTGATTTCCTCTTGAATCACCAAGCTGTTACACATAATATGCAATATTCATGTTTACCTTTACAAACAGTCTCATACAGTTGCACACATCTACTGAACTTACACTAATGAAACTCAGGAATTGTGAGAATTGTCAAATTATTTTTAAAATGTAAATACAAAATAGAGATTTAAATATCAAACTCATATTTTGACCTAAAATTAAAAATTCTGGTTTACAGTCAAAATCCCCAAAAAGCTGGATTGATGTTAAAACAAAAAAACATTTGAATTCACCTCACTTCCAGGGTTTCTCCGTTTAGCTTTTTTGATCTCTCTACTTTTCAATATGTCCTGGCTTGCCACTGAAAATGTCCCAGCCTGTAGGTATATCAAAAGAATAAGTATAATAAACTGCAACTGGGCCACAATTTTATATTATTGCACGAAGCACGTCTAACACAATAACGGAACATTATAGGGTCAGGAATACAAACACTTGTTCCTGACCCTATAGTGTTAAAAACACATATGGGGTTCCTGCCCCCTAAAAGTAAAACACTTTCCAGCACCCCGTTGGTCTGCTGCAACTTCCTTTGTCCCTGATCCGCCACCTTGGCCGACATAAGAATTGATATCAGCCAAGTAGGTGGGGGTGAGTAAAGAAAAAAAAAAAAATTCGCCTTAGCCAATTAGCATGCCCTCATAGAGATGCATTGATTCAATGCATCTCTATGGGGAGCGTTCAGCATCTGAGGAGGGGCCACTAAAGGAGTTCCTAGGCACTAATGTAAACATTGCCTTTTCTCTGATTTGTTTACAGTAAAATGCCTGTAGGAACAAGTTATACTCACCAGAACTATATTAAACTGTAGTTGTTCTGGCGACTATAGTGTCCCTTTAAATATTGTAAATGTATCTAAACCATATGATCTATATGAAAGAAGAAATACGAATTTGAAATAATCGTTATAGTGGCCAAAGCTTGTGGGGCCACACAAGTATATAGAGGTAAACATCAGACACTATTCAATAAACAAAGTATCCCCGTAAAAAAAAATAAAAAATCATATATATATATATATATATATATATATATATATATATATATTTTTTTTTTTTTACAAAGGACTGACTGAAGATGCGAAAAAGGACTTCAAGAAAACAAAATCTGATACAAAGCCAAAAGGTCACAAATCTGCAGAGAAAAGGCATTGTTTACATTACTTCCTAACAAAACCTCTAATGGATGTCACTGGAAGGACTTCCTGTTGTAGTACAGCAGTTTGCACTGGACCAACATTCTGCGTCTTCAAAGCGAATGCGGAAATGCTGACCGGTGGAGCGCTGTAATTACCACCAATGATTACCAAAAAAGCAGGAGAGGTAGGGAACCCCAACCCCAGTCATCAATAATTCCATTTTATTTTTATTGCATTTGTTTGGAAACAAGGGGATATATTTAAAACCGTTCTAAAAAGTTTTCAAAGACACAAGGACAAATTATTCACAATTTAAGAAAACTCCATATAACTCAGATCTAATTTAATAGGGTTTTGATAAAGAAGTTCCAGCTGTCTAGCAAACCCATAAACTCTTTCAACTTTGAAGTCATCAAGAACCTCTCTCTTCAGGACTGCCATGTTGGCTTACCCTTGTGTACACGCATATATGAATTGTGCAAAACGAAGGGATCAGCCAAAAAACTTGAATATGCCACAGATGGCTGCTCCTAACAGCCACCGAGAAATGGCTATACGTGGTGACAAAAAAGGTGTCCCATTTTTCCAAACATCATCCTGTACAGAAGGCAAAGTGATGCCTGTATTATACTGGAGTTTACAATAATTTTGGTATTTATGCTGGGGAATGCAGGTGTTTGATGTATAACCTTTCATTTGAGGCATAACCACAAGAGTGCAAAAAGAACAGGGACACACATCCTTTACTGAAATTCAATGGGCATTTGGTTCAACTGAAACCAAGGAGCAAGTTTTACACTTTTTTTTTTTATGAGTGCCACTCCCATATAATCTCTACAAGATAAACCTTGATCTAGGGGGGGGCGGAGCTAACCGCGAGCGCGAATGGACGCTTGCTAGCAGAGCTCCGAAAGAGACTCAGGGCAATCCGCATCCATCGGGCACCTACCACAACATGGGACACCCCAAACGCCTCTCCACTGCTCCTAACACGGCGGGCAAACACTCCGCGGCGAAAACCAGCAACCTTACCAAATTTTTCAAGGATCAGGGCGACCGGCGAAATGAGGCCACAGGCTCCAATATGGCGCCGGACGACCCGGCGGAGCACTCCTCAGGGCCCTCCAGCCCGGCGGCATCAGACAGCATCTCTCTCACGTCGGACATTGATCGGGACAAAGATCTGAAAGCCCTACTCAGGAATCTCCCCTCCAAGCAGGACCTGGCTGCTATGCTACAGAAACTTGAAGTGTCCTTTCAAAAGAAGATGGATGACATCTCCACAGAAGTAAAACAGGTCAGTGACAGGGTTAACTCCCTAGAAAACGAACATGACTGCACATGCACACAACTACAAGCCCTGCAAAGTACAGTGACAGCTCATAATACACAAATGGCTGCTATGTACAGAGCACTAGACGACCTGGACAATAGAGGGCGCCGTAACAACCTAAGGGTTAAAGGCCTACCTGAGGCTGAGGGGGAAGACCTCCACTCCACACTGCAAGAGCTCTTTAACCTAATCCTCCAACGAGACACAACAATGCCCATCCTGCTAGACAGAGCGCACAGAGCACTCAAACCCAGGGGCCCTGGGGGGACTCCCCCAGAGATGTGATATGCAGACTGCACTATTACAGCATCAAAGAAGACATCCTAAGGAGCCTCCGCCAGACCTCCCAACCACTGCTGTACCATGGGCGACCAGTACAGATATACCCAGACCTCTCCTGGATGACTCTCCAAGCAAGACGGACCATGAAGCCACTCACTGACCTCCTAAGATCCAGGAATATCCGCTACAGGTGGGGATTCCCCCTCGCCATTACAGCAACTCACAACGGGGTCACTGCCACCCTCTCATCAGCCGAAGACACACAAACATTTACCTCGGCCCTTGACCTGCCAGAAGTCCATATCCCTGACTGGTATGGACCATTACACCAGCCTCCGCAACATAGTGCCCCACGACAGAGAGGACAAACCCCAGCGAAGAGGCGCTACAACGACCAAACCATTCACCAAGGGGGTCACAGACCGAGAACAGGACCCCCCGCCCAATAAAGGACGCCCCATACCACCGCTGTCGGACGCCACCTACCCCTTCAGAACCCAACCTGAGAACACAGACGACAAGAAACGGACCTCATTGCTGGATCTAACCTGGCCCAACTCGGATTACAAGCACAAACAAACCTCACACACCTCCCTGAACTCCCACAACCATGGGCCACTATAATAACTCACCCTACCCCGGAAGCCAAGATTCCCTCACACACTCTCTGCAAGAGAACCATCTTGACATTCCCAACGATGCAACAGACGAACCAGCTCCCCAACTCCGTAACAGAATCAGTGATCCCACCGAACTCCACTCTTTCACCGTACTGCCTCTACTATGAATCCAGGACTTAACCTCAGCCGCGGTACGAACTCCTACACACGATCCCACAAACTCTAGGTACTCTGCATCCTGAACGGCAATGACTTGCCGGTGGGAAGTCCAGTAGAAGACCTACGGACGGGTATCAATCTTACTCCCCAGCTGGTTTACAATGTTTGAGTACATCTTGCCTCCTCTAACCCCCTACCCCTCCTTCACCCTCCTCACCTTCAGACACCCATTCCCCTCCCAGCCCTCTCTATCCCCTCCCCCCATCCTTCAATCCCTCCCGAGGCTTGACAGGCTTCTGGTATGTTTCTGGGTAGAGTTAAACTGAATTGCATTATGTCTGGAGGAACTATGATGACTGTTTTATGAGTATGTTCCAAATGCTCTTTGTGCTGTTACCCTAACCATAATAACAGGCTGTGCTTCGACCCTTCCTGAAGCATGACGGACTTCTCGCGTGCTTCTGGGTGGAGTCGAACCGAACAGCATACCGAACTGCATGATGTCTGAGGGAACTATGACGACTGTTTTATGAGTATGTTCCAAATGTTCTTTGTGCTGCTACCCTAACCATAATAACAGGCTGTGCTTCGACCCTTCCCGAAGCATGACGGACTTCTCGCGTGCTTCTGGGTGGAGTCGAACCGAACAGCATACCGAACTGCATGATGTCTGAAGGAACTATGATGACTGTTTTATGAGTATGTTCCAAATGTTCTTTGTGCTGCTACCCTAACCATAATAACAGGCTGTGCTTCGACCCTTCCCGAAGCATGACGGACTTCTCGCGTGCTCCTGGGTGGAGTCGAACCGAACAGCATACCGAACTGCATGATGTCTGAAGGAACTATGATGACTGTTTTATGAGTATGTTCCAAATGTCTTATGTGCTGATACCCTAACCACACTACTGTGCTGGAAATCCTAAGCCTTTGCAGAGTTGGAAGATGGCACTCGCGCACTAACTATGACTCAGGTACCGAACCGGCCCTGATGAGCCACTCCGACCCTGGCCATTGAGCACCCCAGCGCCCACGCCCAATGCGTCCGATACGCACCGAATGGTCCCATAAACTATACATACCTCCTAGCCCGATTTACTAATCCAAATTACCATATAGCATACCATGGATTGCCCGTCTCTCCCTATGGAAAGACGCACCGATACATCACCGAATCCCCCCCACACTGAACTAATTCAGTTACCCCACAACTAAGAGGAGAGTCACCTAAAGCCTTAGCGGTGCCGACTCAACTTCCCCTGGACTTAATAGCCACCAAAGGGAAAGCCACCGTCAACCAAGGCTGACTGACTCCACATTTCAAAATACCCCAACTTCCAGCTCTGCAAGTATCAGAGCTGCTCTGTATATAGTTTCTTTTACTGTTATATTGTTACTGTTTTTACCTCGTTCTGACTGCTACATACCCACTCAAGACCACCACAACATGACACCCCCCCCTGCAGCCAACATGGCCAACCTTACAATAGTCACCCTCAACGTCAGGGGCCTCAATTCTCCCATGAAAAGAGCGCTGACCCTCTGAGAGCTACGCAGCCTAAAGGCAGACGTAGCTTTCCTCCAAGAGACTCACCTTAAAATGGGCTCAACCATCACAATTCGTAACCGTCACTACCCCACAGGATACTATGGGTGCTATAAAGAGGCCAAGACTAGAGGGGTAGCCATCCTTATAGGCTCACATGTACCCTACACTCACATAAGCCACCATGAGGACCCCAACGGAAGGCTCCTCATAGTGAAAGGGAAGATAGGCAACACTGTGGTGACATTTGCCAACATGTATCTACCTAACGCCAAACAAGGCACGCACCTGTCGAAATACATTACCAAAATTGAAGAACACATGGAAGGTATCCTGATAATGGGAGGGGATCTAAACATGTCCCTGGACTCGAACCTAGACACCACATCCATGTCCACATCGTACAACGCCCATACCAGACTCAGGATGACTCAATTACTAGACAAAGCCTGCCTATTTGACAGCTGGAGAATCACCCACCCACACACCAAGGATTACTCTTACTACTCCTCGGTAAAACACACCTATTCTAGACTAGATATGCTCTTTCTCCACCACAGACACCTACACTTAATCCAGTCCAGTAACTACGGCCCCATCACCTGGTTGGACCATGCACCTTTGTCACTGGTTGTTCAGATCCCCTCATTGACACCCAACCGCAACCAATGGAAACTGAATGACACCCTACTAAACGACCCAACCATCATTACATCACTCACTGACGCATTACAGCACTACTTCGAAGAAAATAAACCCACAGTCTCCCCCCCACCAATCATTTGGGAGGCCCACAAGGTGGTAATTAGAGGCCACATCATAGCGCTAGCTTCCAAACTCAAAAAACAGAGAGAAGCGCAGACAGCTGACCTACTAGTGGACATACGCCAATTAGAACAAACCCACAAACAAACCATGTCCCTAGACACATACAAACAACTAGTGGACAAACGCACGACACTGCAAACACTTCTTAACTCCAAGGTCAAACGAACGCTGCTTCGCACCAAACACACCTATTACACACAAGGAGGAAAATGCGGTAGGCTACTAGCGAAAGCTCTCCAACAAACCAACCAACGGACATACATCACCACGATCAAACAAAAAGATGGCACTCGCACGCACCTCCTTCCAAATATACTTAAGGAATTCCATACCTTTTACACAGGCCTGTACAACCTGAGACTAACCCCGCCCTCAGGTGAGGATGTAACCAACTTCCTAGCCACGAGGATCACCCATACTATCCCCCCGAATATCAGACAAACCTTCGACAGCCCCCTGACACCTGAAGAATTCACGACAGTAGTTAAACGACTCCCCTTAGGGAAAAGCCCAGGACCGGACGGCTTCACAGCTAAATACTATAAAGCGTTCGCCAGTGTCCTTAAAACTCCATTTGTAACCGCATTTAACGCCCTTACATCCGGGCACAATCTCCCCACCGAATCCCTAGAAGCCCACATCACCCTCATACACAAACCGGGGAAAGACCCCGAAGAATGTGGGAG